TTTTATTTTTTTTTTTTTTGTTTTTGGAAGCCCCCCCCCCCCCCCCCCCCCCCCTTTTTTTTTTTTTTCAACTCTCTATTTCCTCTGTTCATGGAGGGGTATTCTGTTTACGTTTTTCATTTTTATAAATGCCATGATATGAGCATTTTTTACATGGGATGATGGACAATGAGCTGCGGATTATTATTATATCACTGGCTGATTATGGTGAAGCCTGGTGGCTGCAGTAGAAGATCCGAGGGGTTCGCAATGACCCAACCAGATAGACAGATGGGCGAGATGTATGAATGCTCGCACAATTTTACAGTGCATTTTTGATTATCCTCCTCCTTTTTTTTCTTTTTTTTTCTTCACGCTGGCCCATGATTGTTTCTTTGTGTTTTGTCTATTATTGGTTCATTTCGTCTTTCTTTTTTGTATATTCATTGCTTTTTATAATTTTTAGTCCCTCCACTCGACATATACATCGTCCGTTCGGAAGCGCTGCGTGCACACGCTCTCTTCAAGCGAAGTGCGGAAACCCGTTCGATACGCCAACAGCCCCGCATGCGCAATCATGATGCCGTTGTCGATGCAGAATCTCTCGTCCATGGCAAAGACGCTGCCGCCTCGCTCCTTGGCCATGCTCGCAATCATGTCCTGCAGCCGCTCGTTGCAGCCCACGCCGCCGACGATGAGGACCTCGCTGCTGCCCACGTGGGCCATGGCTCGCTCCGTGATCTCGACCAGCATGGCGAAGATGGTCTCCTGCAGGGAGAAGCACAGGTCTTCGGTGGTGAAGCCCGCGCCTTCGGGGCCGAGCTGGAGGAGCTGCGCGGCCAGGGCCTCTGCGCTGGCGAGGATGCCCGAGAAGGAGCAGTCCATGCCCTTGACGACGTAGGGGAGGTCGAGCAGCTTGGTGCCCTTCTTGGCCAGCTGCTCGATGTTGTAGCCCGGCGCCGGGTCGTTGCTGATGTTGAGGACGCGGGCGAAGCGGTCGAGACAGTTGCCCACGGCGATGTCGAGCGTCTCGCCAAAGATGCGGTAGCGCTTCTCGGCGTAGGCAATCACCTGCGAGTTGCCGCCGCTGACGTAGAGCACGACGGGGTTGTCGGCGCCCGTCACATCACGGCCCATCTCGATGTGTCCCACGCAATGGTTGACGCCCACCAGCGGCTTGTCCCACAGCAAGGCCAGGGTGCGGGCTCCGATGGCGACGCTGGTCAGCGGAGCGCCCATGCCGGGGCCCTGAGTGAAGCAGACGCAGTCGACGTCGGCCGGCGTGATGCCGGCCTCGGCAATGGCGCGGCGCGCGAGGGCGACGAACTCGGTGCGGTGGTGCAGCGCCGTGTCTTTGGGGAGGAAGCCCGTGCCTGGGGGGGAGATGAAGGTGTGCCGCAGGTTGGAGAGGATGGTGGTCGAGGTTGTGGTGTGGCGGATGAGGCCGATGCCGAGCTTGTTGGCGGAGCCTTCGCACCCGAGGGCGATCCATGAGGATTTGGAGGTCGCTGCGGCCATGTCTGATGTAGCTGAGGATGTGGATGTGGATGTGGATGTAGATGTAGAGATGTTGGAGGCGGGTGTGATGGATATAGAGTCGGAGGTTGGGAGATGCGACACTGGAGAGGCGACGCTGGCGGCGGCCATGCTGGGCGACTTGGAGAGCCGAGATGATTCTCAGCGGCCTTATGTGGGAGCTGAAGCAGTTGGCGACACTGCGCTACGTTTGCGCCCGGCCGGCGATGCTCTCGATGTGCCGGGATGTTGGTGACTCTTTTCACGAGGTGGGGGGTTTAGATATCGCTATATAGAGGCCGTTTGTCTTGGTGGCTCTCTTATAGAAGTGAAGCAGTTCTCAAACGGGAAACGGCAAGATGGGGTTTTATCAAGGTACAGAACCTCGAAATAAAATAGAATAATAAATCTCTGGATGTTTCCCTAGCAAACGATGGATGATGAAGCAATTCACATTCCCGAGAAGAAGAAAAAAAAATGGAGGGGTTCAGCTCGTTGCAGCGTAGCAGTTGGCCAGAAACAGAAAATAGCGGGGCGCCGCCAATGGCTCGCTCACTTGCAGTTGCGGCAAGCATCCTTCCCTTTTTGCGGTTGATTGTGCTCGTTACGCTCCTTCCCAATTTCTGTATCTCTGCCGTTTCAAAGCCTGCCTCCGCCGGCTTATGTAAGATTGCGATGCTCTGGTTAAAGTTTTACTTGTATTCCGTAATCTCTCCTCTCTGCTCCTCTTGTAGAGCCTCATGTTCCTCCATTCAACAAAGTACTACTACCGACATCGCGCTGCCCTTCCCCCCGAGGCACCTGGTATTACTACTACGAGTACGGAGCACAACTACTGGGATTGCGAGACTCGGCGGCCCTGTCGGCAAATCCCCTTTAGCGCTCCCAGGCCTCGCCGTGTCATCAAGCACCCTCGCACTAAAGCGCTGCTCTTCCCTGGCCTGGACCTGGCCCGCTTCGTCCCTGTACCACCACAGCATGTACTCTTGCGGTGCGCCTTTTACTCGGCCAATACCTGCCTGCCTGGTACTACCATGTCCCCCGTTGAGTGCGTGCTTCTGCCGCCTGTGTGGGCGGAAATCCCCCAAAAATCCACTTGCAGCCGTTCCCGCGGTCCACATCGACCACTCACTTTCTTTCCCCTCGACTTTTTTCCTTTACCCTCTAGCTGGGAGCAGGAAAAAAAAACACACACACCAAAGTACAAGAAGGAAAATCCAACCCATCCAGGTCGCTGCTCCGTTGCGAAAATCTCTCCTGATGGGACACTGGCCATGAGACATTGGCTGCTTTGCGTTCCGGTTTGTCGTGCCCTTGGCTGCAAGGCAGAATCCCCCTTTGAACCTGATTGTGTGTCGGCGCCTTTGCCTACTTCTCTTTCGTCAGCCCACAGCTAACGGCAGCCTCGCAGCAGACAAGAGTCAAGATGAGGACGAGACACGGAGCTTCTGTTGTCAGCCATGGCCAGCCTCCAGCTTCCAACGGCCTGCTACCGAATGCTGTCGAAGCCATGGCGATCTCGACCGTACATCAGAACCGGGCGAGCTCACGTTGCGCAGCCTGCTTCCCCTCACGTCATCCGCCCTGGTCACCGTGAGGTGAGACCAGGCTGCGTCACGACACCCGCCTTGCGGAAAAGCTCGCACAAAAAGGACAAGCTCTTCCATCGCCGGCTCATATACACCTCATCACGCGAATTGGATGGCACACGAAGAAATATTTCTCTCTGGTCAAGGCCAGCTCGGGGTTTCGTATGATTTTTTTTTTTTACTTCATTTGCTCCCGTTGGGGGGGCTTCTTCCTCTTCTAATCCTAAAGCACCGACCCCAACTCCCAACTCCTTGCAATGCCTTGACCAAGGCTAAGGTTACTATACATCGGTCGATTCGATCCACCTCGAAAATGTCCTTCCTCCTCCCAAACCTCCCCCCGTCCTGTCCGCTCCTGAGAGCCCTTCAATGCTAGCGTGATTGGAGAAAAAAAAGAGAGCTGCAAAATTATATACACCTCCACACACCCATACTCATACAGGGATGCAGTACCAGATTCATCGGGGAGAGGGAGGTTTCTTTATGATGCCGCCTGCGCCTGTTGGACTGCAGGAGGATGCGGTGCTTGTGGCTGCTGTTGCGGTTGCGGCGGCGGCGGTAGCACCCGGTTTCCATTTGCTACGCCGTTTACCGCTTCTGGAGGGGCCGTTGGCCTCGCCCGGAAGATATATGGGCTGAGAGGGATGGTAGCCCTAAACTTCAGCGCTCTTGTGTCAAAGGGATCAACCTCATATACGGGAGGTTCATCGTCCTCATCGTCAGAGTCATACTTCCACCGGTCCGAGTACTCGTACGCGTCTGCCCGAGAAGGAGTCGAAAGACCTCTTCGATCGATCCAGAGCCGTTGGAGTCGGCCGATACGGCGTCGGAACGCCGGCTGGTTAGTTTGTGGTGTCTCGTCAACGTCTGAACCACGAAACTGGAATACTGGCAGCTCTAGCTTGTCCAGTTGCATAGGCTCAGGTACGTCGTCGACATCCATTGACTCCGAAGACGTTGACGCCGGCGGCGTCATTAAGTATTGCGTCTTTGCCGGTCTGAACTTGAGCTCCATACCCAATGCCTTTACCGGCGAAAGGGGATCTCGAGTGAGATCAATATGATTCTGGTTCCACCTCCGATGATTCTGCACCTTAGTCTCAATCTCATTACGGAGCTCATTTTCCTTCTCAGCAAGCTGGTCAGAAAGCAGCACAAGATCCTGTTCGTGGGCGCGTCCATCGGGCCGTACCGGCACCCGGACCTGTGTCGCAGGTCGCTGGGCTCCGGCAGCTTCTACAGGCTTTCGCTTCTGAGACTGTGTAGTTGCCATCGTGTCAGTGCCAAGTGGCATTATACATATCGAGGGCCAAGCTGGCCTGGGTTCAAAACATACCTTTTGGTTGACTAGGTCTTCGTCGTCGCCCTTGATGCCTAGTTTTGTCTTGATCTGCTTTAGTCGAGCCCTTTCTTCGAAAATAGCCCGATCCATTTGCAACAAATCTCGTTTCATCATCTCTCGCTCGTATGCGAACAGTATAAGCTGGCGGCCATCCTCGAGCTCGCGACGGAAACGCTTGAGCGTCTCGGCGATCTTGGTGTCCCTGGACCTTGTTTTCCTTGTCTGCCTGACCTCCCGCCGTCTGAAGCAGACGTATGGGTCGGTGTCATCAGTCTCTTGATGTGTTTCAAACTTGATGGTTGGATGCAGTGGTTTGTTTCCTTCCTCCTGCCGCTTGGACTTCCAGTACTCATATATCTGCTTGGCGTGCTGCAATATGGATGCAGAACCAAGCTGATTGAGACCGGGCACCATCATATCATAGCTGACAACAGTATTGTCGACTGATGCAAATGGCGTTTGCTCCGTTGCGGTGTCTTCAAACACCTCCATGATGCGTTCGAAGTCATCCTCGCTGAGCAACCCAGCGGCGGGAGGACTACTATTATATGATTTGAGAAATTCATTGTCATCAGCTGTCATGTCATATTGACAGCTAATGCATTCCTCCACTGTCTGAGAAAATCGGATATAAGAGGAAGGTTTGTGAAATGATGCGGGATAGAGGCCATCATAGCTGATGTCGCTTTCTTGCGGTGGAGGCACAGGAATTTCTTGATCATTGCTTGTGCCCGCCTCTTTTAGAATGGATTGAAGATGGTATTCCTACAAGAGAAAGAAAGAAGAAGAAGAGAACAAGTCAGTATATATTACTTTTGAAGAAAGAAAAAAAGGACGAAGAAAAAAAGCGATGAAGAAAAGATGAAAGAAAAGGAGAAATATGATGACGGAAGAAAAAAAGAATGAAATTGAATAATGTGAAAAAAGAGAGGATTGATCAAATACTAGAGTGAGATACATGAGGATGGAAGATGCCATCACATATGCAGCACTCCGTATATGCCATCTCGACTTATGTACGCTGGTAGGCAAAATACAAGGCAGAGAGAGAGGTAAGGCAAGGAGACAGCACGTGACGATACACGTGATATCAGAAGTTGCGGTGGCGTGGATATGGAGAGAAAAGGACTCACATTTTCCTCAGTCTGGTCGACTCCAGTCGCGATTTGCGACTCGGTAAGGAGTGATTCATACTCGGTAGCATCGATCTGATCCTCTCTGAGCACGGGAAGAGTGGTTTTGACCGTCAACTTCTTGACTCGGACTTTGCGGGATGACATGTTGCCAGGGTGGTGAAGGACGGCAGAAAGCCAGCGGAAAATCCGCAAAAAAAAGAGATCAAGTCATAAATCGAGACGTCCGCAGTCGCCTGTTGATAACAGATGGGCGATTTAGGGGGCGTGGTTTGGGTTTTTTGATGACTGAATGCTCGCGTTCGATGAGGTGACGTTGAGGTTGTTTTGCCGCGCGAAGATTTTTCACTGGTGCAAAGCCTGGAAATTTGCGGCTGTTTGATGGCGAGCGCTGGTCCGCCCCAAAGTCACGGCGCCATAGTGTTTGGCGGGCGCAGGTACATGTGGGCGCTCGGGCCACCCCCTCCTTTTGGCTTCTCTCCCTCTCCCCTGAAGTCGCCAAAAAAAAAAACAGTGGGCGGTGGTGCCTATGGGCCATTGGCACACTGGGCGAGTCGCGCCTCTGGTTGGCTGGGCGGCGGGACCCAAAGGAGCCCAAAACGCGCCCAGGCAGCCCGGGGATGAGCCGAAAGCGGGCATGGCGGACTTTTGCTTTCTTGCTGTCTTTTTAGGTAAGCAGCCGAGCACCGGTACAAAGAAGCTGTGACGCTTCCGTGCTGCTTCTACATGTACATACTTGGACGGCTTCATGCATTGGCTCCATCACAAGTGTGGTCTGTTAATGCATGTGACGGACCAGCACCTCGGTTTGTTTTAGTACTTGGGACCAAATGCCATATGCGTGACAGTCGAATTGTAAGACTTGCATGCCGTTTATCTGTCATAAGCTTCAGCCACGATGTAAAATACGCATAAAGTTCTGCCATTGAGCTTATAGTTGCCCCAGCTCGATCTTGCCGAACGACACCACGATGAATGTCCTTTATTTATTTGCCATGAAATCATCTGCAGCATCTAAAATTAGACGAGATAACATCCACTAAACAGCCTTTTGAAGGTTTTGGCAATATTCTTCTTTTCTTCTTTATAGCAGGGCTGAATGGATTGTTGTTTCTGCCAAGCAGCAGCAGCAATAAGGCTCCAGCTTACATACTCGTTGTAGAAGCAATCTCAGAGGACGTGGTCCGTGCACATGACCAGCTACCCCTCTAGGAGAATGCGGCCTTGTACTCGTACAATGAATAATACAAGCCTTACACCTCCAAAGACGCAGAACGACATTCATGGCCGCCGATACATGACCGCTACATAACCACAACCAACCACCAACTGTCCGCTGCATTTCCTCCTCAAGCACCATTTTTTATCGAGACATCGCTAGCGCAAGAGTCGCTGCGCCTGCAATATGGGCAACACCACAAGTACCGTGCTGGACAATATTGTCCAAGGGTCCAACTGTAGGCTGCCGCCTCCCCCTAAGAGCACTTGAGCTCAAGCTCCTCGGCCTCATGCGCTAATACCATGTCGCGTAGTTGATAGAGAGGAGGTCGATCGGTTAAGGAAACGGTTCATGAAACTCGACAAGGTACGATTGAACAAGGAGACTCGGCGCAGAGCATCACGGCTGACTGCTTGGCTGGGCTGCTGCCGCCGCTTTCTCAACAAGAGACGATGCAAGACGGGACAAGACAGGACAAGATACGAGGCTAACTGATATTCAACTATAGGATAATTCTGGTACAATCGAACGAGACGAGTTTCTTAGCCTCCCCCAAATCTCCTCCAACCCGCTTGCGACACGGTTCGGTCTACCCCCTTTCACATCTTCCCCCGCGATATTATACACCGCTCGCACTACCACCTTCCCCCTTTCATAGGATTCAACACCACTAACATGAATGGTTTTTTTCAGCATGATCGCCATCTTCGACGAGGACGGCGGCGGCGATGTCGACTTCCAGGAGTTCGTGTCGGGCCTCAGCGCCTTCAGCAGCAAGGGCAACAAGGAGCAGAAGCTGCAGTTCGCCTTCAAGGTGTACGACATTGACCGCGATGGCTACATCAGCAACGGCGAGCTCTTCATCGTGCTCAAGATGATGGTGGGCAGCAACTTGAAGGACCAGCAGCTGCAGCAGATTGTCGACAAGACGATAATGGAGGCGGACCTGGACAAGGACGGCAAGATTAGCTTTGAGGAGTTTACCAAGATGGTGGAGAATACGGATGTGAGCATGAGCATGACTCTAGGTGCGTTTTTTTTCCCCCAATTTTCCGTCTTCTCTTTTTGCTTCCCCGTATCTTCTTGTTCTTCAGGCGATGTGCTAACTGGCTGGCGATGTAGACCAATTCTAAGCGTCCGTGGGAGAGGAGAAAAAAGGGGCAGCGTTGGGTCTCGGGCAGACAGCGCGCCGAGAGCGAATACTTGTGGATAATGGAATACAGCAGTTATGATAATGAATATCTACATTCGATTTCTTCAACTATCCATGTGTACAGGCTTTCCTTGGTCAAAGACATGTACCCCCAACGGGAAACGATGAGCACGCGTGCTTCCCATTGGGACTTGACTGCAGCCAATCTACGGCAAAACACAGTACATTATTCGTTCGTGAAAGAAGGTATAGCTGTTACGAGCATAGGTGACTCCTCCCCAAATCCGAAAAAGGAGAGACATTGACTTTGGAGCCCTCCACCAGACCGCTCTGCGTCTTGTGTCTCACAGCGGTTTTTTTTTTGGGCGAATTAGTGGTGCAATGTGGGAAACTTTTTGATGCCAATCAAGGTGTCCCACACGTGAGCCTATTTCTATCTAGTTGAACATGGGTGACTCAAGAAGTTGGGAGATTGGCAATGTTTGGTGTTACGGCCGAGACAAAGTTGGGCGCGGGAATACTTCTTGACGGCTTGGACGAAATGGGATTTTGGTTTTGAGGTCGGTGTCACTGGGCACAGGCTAGCTGTTTGCTTAACCGCGGCGTACCACTTGTTATTATTTCTTGGTGTCTTCTATTTCGGTCTACTTTGGCTTTGGAAGAAAGGGGTGATACTTGGATGAGGCTTCTCGAGCGTCTGTGGAGCGACTTGCTGTTTTGGTAGTTTGTTGGCAGCAGAACTTGATCCAGCCATGATGAGTATTGAGGTTCTTGCAGGAAACTCGACACTGAGGACACTCATAGAGAATCTAGAGGCTACTGATGGTTTTGTCTCAGTCTCGTCAGGTCTCATTACCGAAAGATTTGAGATACTATAATATAGCTCAAGTTCATCTACCCAAGTACCAAGTTCATCTCACATAGTCTAAGATATAGCTCATGTGCTACTTCTATCATGTTGAATTGCCAATGAGAACATTGTTGCAACTTGGCAATGCAATTCCCCCTTTCCTCCTTGATTTCTTCTTTTCTGCTCTTTAGTCACTGTGAGGGCATCTCACCCTTTTTCTTCATCGCTGTATACCTTAGGTACTGCCCCAGTATCATGTGATGAGAATACCTGGTGTCCGAGCTCTTTAGCACAGCCACTCTCCAGAGGACCTTCCTTCTCTTCTGTCTATCGTCATCACCTCTTTCCATCTGCTATTCCTTATCTCCTTCCCTCTCCCAGGTGATTCTAGTAAAGTACTAACTTAGTAAGCTACTGGGTATCAGCCAAGGAATATAACGTACATCTATACCTCAGGTGACAACGACACGCCTCTCCTTCTTTTCCCCCTTTTCATCAACACTTTCTCTCCTCATCCACTCAATCCACCCAGCTCAGTGCTTTAGCTTGCCAAACTTCTCTCCTTCAACTTTGTCTACACATTCGTCACAGCTAGGTATCTAGTGATATGCAATAATCCATCGGCAGTGCTACCAGGTAGTTCCTTGTCCTCCCACTGCCCTAGCAGCAGCCAGCTGGATCTGGGGGATCATCGCCTTGTCCCACTGCTGGCAGCAGACGCTCTCCCTGCTCCGTTACCCCTGCACAAAACTGCCGTCACATGCAGTCTACAGAGGTCAGATCAAATTACGCCAAATCGGAAATCGACCTCTGACGAGCTACTACGCCTCGGCAACAGCTCTCAAACAGACCACAGCCGGGTTTAAGATGACGTCTCATACGCTTGTCCACGATATCCCCGGCGAGCAGACGGATGTTGACTACAGCAGGACACCGGCTAGAAACAAATCAGCCCCAAACCGGGCGAGTTGCCATCATGGCCGGAGACAAAGTTCCTTTTCACCCCTGGCTTCTGGCATCTGACTAGCCTTGGCGAAGATAAAAGCAATAATCGTTGGTTGGTTACATGTAACCCAACTGAGACACCATGGTGAGTATTACCCTCGGCGTATTCTGCAATACGCCCGTCACTATACACCAACCAAACGCAGGTGACTCCGCGGTGGCTTCTCTTGTCGCCTCATCAATGTGTTGGCTGTGAGGCTGCCTGCCAAGCACTTCCGTGTATGCAGCTAGCAGCCTGTGTTTATGAGTTCACCCACAACTGCCGATAGCCCCGGCTGAAAGCCCAGATGAGGGCCCAGATGATGGGCGGCGTCGTGACAGGGCCAGGGGAATGTCCTAATTACCTCCCCGCTAGACGCTTCAGCCGGTAAGCCGCACGCTTGCTCCGACGTCAAAATCTCAGCAGCACATTTAACGTTACCCCATGAAACGCTAGCACCAGCTGCTCCCCTGATTCTAGCCCCCAGCCCCCGTCCGTCTCACTTGGGGGCTGCAGCCGCGTTGGCTTTCCAATTGCCATGTGAACGATGGGAGTGGATGGGAATTTGTCATGCGGACTCCCGCAGGCTTCCGGGAGTCATATCCGGGACAAGCCGGTTTCGGGACCGGGCTTATCCCCGACGGGAATCTTACCTGTCTGGATGCATGACAAACAGAGTCGCTCTGGCACAAACACGAGAGACGTCATCTGCCATCGTTCATCGCCCTACCCGGCTGCTACGGTCAAGGGGCCCTTGGATAATTCGACGGATGACGGATGACGGATGACCATCTGATATAAGCGGCCGTTCTCGACTACAAGACATTTATGTTTGCCCCATGCCACAAAAGTCCCAACGGGATTACACAACAAACTTGTAAGATACACAGCCTCGTGTTTCAATCACAGGCTTCAACCTCTTCAAAGTCTGCCCCTCTAGACTGTTTGCTATGTACCTAGTCATCAGCAACTTGTGTGCCACTTCCAGCCCGCTGATGCTGCCCTTGAGGGCTCGAAACCGCTATAATCTAACCAATCGTCTAAACATGATACACTTAATATGTGAACAGACAAAACAAGAACTTTTAGTGGGAATCTTGCACAGGTCCCTCGTTATTGTTCGACTCGGGGTGATGAAGATTAGGAAAAAAGAAGAAGAAGGAAAAAGACAAGGAAAAAGCAACAGAAAAAGCAGAGAAGCAATCGCCGGTCTCACATCTTTGCCCGAAAGTCCATCATCCAACGCCGCCTGTCTAAAACATTCGGTCCTCGCAGGCTTTTGCCCGCTCCCGCCGTTGTCCTGCCCATGTTGTCTACCAAAAATACCCGTCCAGTTCCCACACTGTCGTACCAAATTCGCCAGAAATCCGCTTGCCTAGGAGCCGCACCCCCAATAATGACATGGCATTCCTTACCATGCTATGCCCGTGTGTGTTGCATCGTCGTGTTTGTAGGTGCCTCTTTGGAATGTTTGTGTGTCCGTGTATAGGCCAAGTTTGCCAGCCCATCCAAGCGTAGCTGGCAAAAAGAGTATTCAGACATATCACTTGATACGCTGTGCCACTGGCCTCTCCCCCCTTGCGCCCTACTAGACACAGGCCTAATCCAAGAGACATGCATCAGCCCCTCCGAGAAAAGAAAAAAAAGCCCCAATATCCATCCGTCCGTCCATCCATCCCGTAACCCATAAGACCCAGTTATGAAACCTTTCTCCATGTTATTCCTCCCCGATCAACCTTGTTAATATTCGTATTTTCGCTGTTGGAGAGGCCGTGTCGAAAGTTCCCATCGTATAATGTACACTTCCCAAGCCGCTGGAAATGCAAGGGTAATAGCAACAAAAAAAAAGAAGAAGAAAAGACAGCAAACAAAAAATTGGAAAGCAAGTGAACAGCCGGTTTTCTCGCTCTGGCATAGAAGTAGCCGATACATCTTCATCGTTCATATGCGTAGTAGTAATCCGCATCGTATGCAAATGTCGATCAGCGAGATCCTCCACTTGTGCCAGCGGCCGCTTCGAGGGAGTCGTAGAGATCGAGACATTCTTCAAGAACTAGATGGTCGATTAGCACATCTTTTTACCAACAACAAGGGAAAAGGAGACGGCCATACCTGTCTCGATTCGGTCCTCCCACACGCCGTACTGATAATCAACTAAACCATGGCTCTCGATACCATCGCAAAGCCGAACAAGCTCGTCGCCCATTTTCTTTATTGTGTCCTGCGACATGACCTGCTGTGATCTCGACAGCTGCTGACCTGATGACATGATTTCTTTTTGTCGAAAGCAGAGGGCTAACCACGCGTGGTTAAAGTCGTTCCACAGTTTTATTCTCTCGGCGTGAAGGCTGGCGTCATCTTGGCTGAGCCCTGTTCTGCATGTAAGCACAACGACAAGTTTACCCATCTTGCTTCTCTTCATACCTAATTCTGCCACTTGCGTGAGCAACCACCCAGAGATGTTGAGAAGGGTTTCGGCGGCTCTCTCCAACGAAACAGATGATATGTCCTGAAAAACGGATCCTAGTTGTCGTTGGTAGTTTTGCCACTTCTCTTGAAGCCCAGACGTAGCATAGTCTTGCCCTTCTCCCATGGCGGAATCCGCGGCTCCTGATGTCTGCTGCATGGCGCCTGTACCAGGCATGCTGCCCGCGTAACTCATGGATTGGCCCTGCTGATATACTCCAGCTGATGCGCTGCCCCCCTGGCCCGGGTGCTGCATGCTTGCTGCTGCCGCGCTCCCTGCTTCGGGATTAAAGTATGCTGAGGTGACATCCGGTGCCATCATCTGCATTGCTGCCTGCTGCCGTTGCCCGAATTGTTGAGCGTCATAGACTGGAGTTTGCGTGTTCGGCTGAGGCACGTTGTACATCATCATACCCGTGTTGTAGCCCCCGAAACCCTGAGTTTGTGGCCTCGAATCGGCGCCGTATTCCGACCCGTACGCCATACCCGTCGTTGGCATGTTTGTCGGCGTTGAAAATGCGGCCGCGGGTTCTTGGTAATATGTACTATATGTCGGCGCACCCCCCAAGCCTCTTGGAGTTGAAGACGATGCAAGGGGCGCCGTTCGATAGCGCTCAGAGGAACCGCCTACAGAGCCCTGAACTGAGTATCTTTGTGCAGGAGGGTGATGGGTAGGCGGGTCATTCTGCCTCCTATGTTGGTTGGGGTTGTCCATGCCCCGATGGGCCTTGTCGTAAGAAGCCTCTCGATGCGCCGGGGAGGCAGTGCTGTTGGAGAACGATCGTATAGAGTCAAGATGGGTACCTTCCTAGGCGTACCGATCGCAGGGTTTAAACGAATGGCTTTTTGTTTTTGCTTTTTTTAACGAAAGTATGGTGAACGAAACGAGCGGTGCGAATCGATAAATGTGTGTGGGCAGCTACTGGAAAGTGGTGGGTGGGCGTCTGGATCAAATCTGCTAACACGATGATCCTATAACAGGTTGCAGCTGGAGACGTTAAACACTCAAAACGAGAGAAAAGGTAAGCTAGGCGGACAAGTCGAGAGACCGATGTCATAGCCTGTTTGCAAAGCTCATCAAGCCTCGAGAGCCGACTCCTCCAACAATAGCAGGGAAAAGATGTGAGATTTTTTCCCCCCGGCTCGACGAGGTGCTGTGACGAATACAAAGACGGCTACTCGTACCCTCTGGCAAACTCGCAAATTCTCAATGGCGGGTTTGCGGAGCCAACGGCCTAGTTCATCATGCCCCAAATGGCAATACGTCAGGGACCGGGCGCCAGAGAGGCGTAGGCTTGGTAGGTTCCACCAGCTCGACCTAGTCTGAGACTCCGGGACACACCGGCTGCCTGCGTAAAGGATGTTAGGTTAATCACAGCAGGTTGTTGGAGGGCTGAAAGGCTTGGAATCAAGCCGTGACGGTTCAAGGTGGGAATTCCTTGGGCAGGTTTTGGGGAAGACGGCTTGTTATCCTCTTTGTAATATTAGATGCTTACCCTTTCTAAATCTGACAGAGTGGGTTGCCAGGAAATAGCACAAGGAAGCCAATGGCCGAAGTAGGGGAAGCCTAGGCCAAATGAGAGATTGGCAAGGGCAGAGCCGTTGCCAATCAGATGATGTATGTGGGCGTGGGAAGTGTGACTATGCAAGAGTTGATAACGATGGTGAGGACGCAAACTTGGTTGAGATCCCAAAACAGCGGGGATAAGACCGAGAAACTAGTGGTGATACTAGATGATTAAATCGATGGAGCCCTTGCTGGAGACCAACGAGTGACTGGCGTTGGAGGAATCATCGGGTCTTATACCGAGGGGGGAACTAGTTGGCAAAACCGTCTGCTCCAAGATCCACGCTAATAAAAATGAGGGAGAACGAGAGAGAACGAGGTAGAGGAGAGAGAAGGAGGAGGAGGAGGCAAAAAGGCACAGATAGAGGTAGAGGCGTGTACTCCCTCCCTAGGAGGCAGTATACCATGTCGCCGGTGGGTGTGTGGGAGGACGGAGGACGGAGGACGGAGTACAAGAAAAAGGGATGTCAGCCGTATGCAGTCCAAGTGTGCCGTCTAGGGGTCCAGACAATGTGCGGCAAGTCATAAATGCAAAAGCAGGGCTGCTTGTCAGTAGCGAAAGGTGGAAGCCACATTGGCCAAGATGCGCTTGGTATGACCCGGGGTGCTGGGCATACCGTCGTATTCTGTACCTTGCGTTGGCCCTAGAAGAACTTGGGGCGATACAGCCGGTAGGCTGTCACTAGTCTGCAAGGCTAGAGGTGAGAGTTTGAATTGTCGATTTGGTATTATTTGGGATCTGCATGTGGCCACCCCCTGGTCATCCGGGACGGCGGAAAAGAGGCTTCGTTGGAGAAGGACAGGCCAGGGGTGGCCCCTTGATGGGTCACAAAAGAAAGAAACCAGAGAGGTAACAGTGAAGGAACCGCGCGCGGTGCTTTTCTTCTTTGTACACAGTACGCATAGGGACAGCCCACAAACTAACAGTGCGTACGAGTACTCGTAGATGTCGCTTCTAGGCTCGCGATTGGACAAAATGCTCAAGCGAAAAACTCAGACTTGCTCCGAGTGGAAACAACGAAGTCGAGGTGCTCTCCGCCAGAGACCACATACACGAAACAGAGTGGATTCGCATCTTGACTTAGTGGATAGGCGCGGCGATGATTTGGGCTTGGCAGCATGCTTCGGCACTCTCGTCTTTTGGCCTAACAGACTCCTGTGAACAAGGTCCATTCCCGTCGTCTGGAGCATGAAGCAATGCCTGTCGGAACGCAACCCGCCAACCAGGTACGAGTATTAGTTGATGAGCCGGTACTTGGGCGCGGCGAATACCGTAAGCAAGTAGGAGCGGCACATTCCTTCTGCTTGCGCCAATCCATCAATGGCTGTAGAGATGGCTGCGGATGTAGCAAGCGTGTCATTTCCATGCATGCAGCATCAGTAGCTGTGGCCCTTTTTTTTTTCAGACGAATGAGCATTGCAGGCAGGGCAGGGCGGAAAATAGAAACGGCAAGTCAACGCATGACAGCACCAGCCTGGGGTTTTTGCATGAATAAGGGCGTCTGAGACGCTTGGCTGTCTTGTTACCACCCTTGGATTGGAGCTGGAACATGACAGCAAATAGGCGGCTGAATAATGACGCATAACCTGAACTGACTAGGGGTTTGTTGAGACGGCACTCCCTCCAATGGAGCACGTGTAATCGCGCTTCTCTGGTAGTTGGGAGAAGGAACCCATCGGGTAAGCCAGCAGAAACGTTCTTTTGTCGTGGACGTCAGACCAGACATGGCTAAAAGCGTCTGGATGACGGCGCTTGGAGGCCGGCTGTTTTGCCGTGGCTTGCCAGGCCCCAGCAACACGGCAGCGAGTGGTCTGCTTTCGAGGTTAGTCCATTATACGGGGATGACCGAGGTTTCAATGCCCACAAGCAGGCCGCCCTCCAGCTTGCCATTGCGGCCATCCGTCGATCCAAAGCAGCAGCATGTCAGCTGCCGGGGGGAGGGGGAAATTCCCCGTTCAGTGACCGGCCATTAGGGTTGTCGCAAACGATCCAGGCCTGACAAGAGGCGTCCCGACAACCCGGGTCGTCCCAACTGGGCGAGACACACAATGCCCTGGAAATGAGGTGAGGCGTCGGCGTCGTGAATTACGAGTACTCGCTGACCGGTGTGAAGTACGAGTACCCGCATGTCTCAGTCAGTAGCCTGTAGGGATACCGAATGCAAAAGCAGATCACGAGACACGGCGCCAATCCATCACATCACATGTACGACCCACGAGAGAAGCAAAAAGATCTCTGATCTAAGACAATGCCTAGCTGGTATCGCTTGGTGAAGGAACACACCCCTGGAATCGACACGCCCGTTGGACAAGCCACCTGCAAGGGCCTTTGACAGACAGAGCTGAGCTTTGAGGAGGAGAAAAATTGGCGAAGGGGAGGCTGAAGTTGGTAGAAGGTGAATCTGTAAGGTATTTGCGATTTGGAATTGGGAGATGCAGATGGGAGTACCGGATCTCCCTTGTACAACCCGTCGTTAATTTGAGGTACCACCAGATTGGTAGGAGTCGAGGTAGTTCGGCTGCACAACTGACGCCAACATGTACGTGATTGAAATTCTTGAACAAGGTTCATTTCACAATTAGTAGAGGTATTACCTTCAAGGTTGTTAGAGGTACTTGTCCTCTGCACGTGAGGATTGCTGGTTTTTGCAGGGCAGGAGCAGCTGTAGGTACCTACCTACCTTAGTATTACTCTGCCACAGGCACTCGGTGGAGAGATGAGGAAGGCACACCCCCAAGCGTACAGTACGAGTGGGTACATGGGTACCTGTACTTTCACAGGTGCGAAGCTGATTGTGTTGCGTCTCTCTCTTTTTCTCTCTCCCATCTTCCGCCCTCTGTCGTTTCTTTTTCCTCTTCTTGGGGCCCTTTTCTCGTCGGATTCGCTCTACGTTCTCAGCTCAATCTACACGTATTGCCATCCTCCTCGCCACGACCAGGAACAGGGGACGGGGGATTACAGTAGGAGGAATTTCGATCGCGGAGTGGAGGCCAGCGCGGGAGGCCATGTGCAGCGTGCGTCAAAGTCCACAGCTCATGCTGCACGCAAATCCTGGCAGCAGCCAATCTGCGAGCCCGGAGCAGGCAAATACAGGCAAAATGCAGCTTGCTAGGGCCGTGCTAGAGGCGAGCCATCGGCCTGGTCCACAGCGACTCCATCGGCGAGCAGCCATTAGGAGGAATAAAGGCCAGTGTGGAGATGGGCTCGGCTCTGTGTAGCGTGGGCAGCTAAGAATATTTTTTTTTTCCTGAGAGCTCTGAACCATGTTCTGCTGAGAAGTGAAGGAGGAAAAAAAAATTCGCTGGGCTTTCCGGCCAGATGTTGGCCAATCTGATGAGCTGTGAGGGTATGGGTGTGGACAGGGGCAAAGACGCCGGGAGCACTAACGGAATCGAGAAGACGATTATGCCGTCAATCTACAAAGTACGACCATGCTCGATGCCTGTCAGCAACTGCTGTTTCGGCAGGTTAATAATAGCAGTGCTCGTAATCGCGGTCACTCACGAGCGCGAGGCTGTTCCGATGGACGCGAAGTACCTCGGACGGACTACAAAACCGGCCGGCCCAAAAAAAGCAACATTGACAGTGGTCGCGAGTGAAGCGACTACGGGACCTGGGCGCATGATATTGATTACGACACGAGCCATGTCTGGCTGTAAGAGTTTGGAAGGTGGTCTGATGTCTCACATGCCCGGAGCAGCTTTGCTTGTTCGGAGTATTGCTGCTATTACTGCTACTACTACTACGGAGATACTACCAGGAGTATAATTTGAATTACTTCGGGGCAAGCTCCTTGGACTTTCATGATGTACGCCCAAGGCAGCGGAAATGGGTAGCACGAACTAATAATCTCGTCTGGCTCGCCCCAAGTGAACAAGGACTTACCGCGGATCCGATGCCGGGACAACGCTTGCATATACGGGTACATACACGAGACAGGGCGAGCATTGATGCCCAGCCAGGAGGTATGTACGGGCAGTTGCTTGAAGCAAGGAGCAGGAGAGATTGGAGATGGCTCTAACACACATACGAAGCATGCAGTACATACTAGCACATCAACAATTGCAACTACAGGCCTGTCACGTCACCACAGAGGCTAATGCCCAACATTCAGCTGCTCTGTGGAGCACTTACATGGCAGTGGTCGAAAAGACTGACCCTGGTCGTGTTTTACCCCAGCTGTCTCTTGCTGCCTCCCCTGCACCGAGAGTTTCGGGTTTGATGAGCCGAGGGCCTGTCCTTGAAAGTTGACACCGACATACAAAAGGAAAAGAGGGAGACCAAAACAAGCGCCGATCATATGCTGGTACTAACATACCGGCAGAGATACTAGGCATATAAATGACACTGTCTGGTTGACCCTCGCTCGATCATCATACGATTGCCTGCGTTTTCTGGCTCAGCTGCCCTCGAGATTCAGCTGCCGCGGCTATGAGGGCTGACCTTCGCTCCAACGGATGTAACTACCCCCATAAGTACACGAAATGTGACACCCTATGTTGCCAGGAAGAGTATTGGGCGAAAAGGAAACCCTCCTGCGTCACCCTTTGGTAAATGATGCCGCCTTCTATTGGCTCTGCTGACCTCTACCCTGGACCTGGTAATAGCGACACAATTTACATGGCACAAACGGGCCTCGCGCGGCTGAGACCGCAATCCCTTGCTGACGCATGCCCTGACTCGACGTCATTGGCAGGAATTGGGAGAAAATCTAGGCTCGATTCTATGGACAGGGGGGTAGAATTGAGCTGAACTTGATGGTCTAGCTTGTGTGTCACTTGTGATTTCGATCTCGCTAAACTTGTTGAACGGGCCATACGGGCCGGATCCGACCCGTCAGGACAGGCTTCATGACTTTCGATGCTTTTTTTTCAAAGTCTAAAGGAATAGGATTAGAGGCTGTAATAGCTCAGCTGAAGCCACCTTCTGAGTAAATCACTTTTCAGAAATGCGCAGCTCTTGGCGCATTGAAGAATACAATGGGATACTGGAAACCATATTTCAAGTGTGGCATTTTAAATAAACAAAGGCGCCCTGAATTTCCGCCAATACGGACTGGCAGCGGCGATATCATCTTTCTTGGTACTGCGGCGCATGTCACAGAAAAGGCCCGGTCAGCCTCAAAACCCCGGAACTTGCATGATTCAAGGGCCAAAACAAAGCCAAAAAAAAAAAAGAAGAAGAAAAGGGAATTCTGCCTGTAATATTACATCCTGTCTACCCTGCTCTTCCGCCCTTTGGTTGGCACCGTAGCATCATTTTTTCCTTTTTCTTTTCTTGCAGGCATCTACGAGCCGTGGCGGGATCCTTGCTTGATGGTTTCACTTGCTACCTACCTGAAAGACAGTTGAAAAAAAGGAAAATAGAGGGGAGTGAAGGAAGAAGAAAAAGAAAAGAAAAGAAAAAAGACATTTACACCCTTCATGTCACTCACTGTCCTTCCTTTTGTGCGGCTGAGTCCTATGAGACAAGCTACCAGGTAGGTACTGACTCGAATGCTATATCATGCATCGAACAAGTATGTACCTAGTAGACTTTGTAAGCCATGACTTATACATTGACGTGTCTCCCATTCTTTTCTTGGATTTGACTGCTTATGCTCAGCAGCAACTGAAACCACAGCTGGATTTGCCTTATGCCAAGATGGAAGTTCATATACAACGGGCTTTAGTGATTACGCACAGCCTTGTGGCGACTACGACGTGCTTGTGTTGGTCATACTTCATTATAACATTGAATGCTTCGGCATGGGCCAAGATAACCCAAATGTCCCCAAGTAGCAAATGCCTAGGTAGGATTCTATAAATACAGATGTTGTAGATGGTACAAATGTCGCTCTCGGAATAGAGGCAGAGAGATAAGCGCCCTTTAGGCTCGTTCTCAAGCAGGCGTCCTGCGTAATCTCGCCTAGCCGAGCTTACAAACGGCGCGGGAAACCCAGGCCCGTGCAGCTTCTATCGCTTGACCCAGGCAGGCATCTTCCGGGCCTTGACATGTCCATGCTTCTTCCTCTCCACTGTTCTGGGATCGCGTGTGATGCAGCCAGCTGAATTGGGGAGATGCAACGTTAGCAGCCGTCGTCAAGACCGAGAACAAGGGATCGAGACAAATGTAAAAAAAACACCGAAAAAGCAAGGTGGCTTTCGTATCAACATACCTCTCCTTAGAGCCGTCTTCAATGCCGGCTCATGAGCGACCAGCGCTTTCGCCACGGCCAGGGTAATTGCCTCAGCCTGCCCGGTCGTGCCGCCGCCCTCAACCAAGGCCCAGACGTTGTACTTGTCCAGTCTCTCCGTGGCAGTGAGTGCCCAGACCGCGCTCTCACGGTCGTGCACGCGGCCAAAGGCCTCGCTCAGAGTCTTGCCGTTGACCAGAATCTCTCCAGTTCCCTCCACGACAAACGCGCGAGCTGTTGACTCCTTTCTCTTGCCCACGCCAACGGCACGCCCAAACTTGTCAATCGTGATGGGGTTGGGCATGTTTAGGAATGGGTTGATGTCTCTCGTAAACTCCGTCAGGGCCACCTTGACCTCTTGCGGCCGCAGGCTGGGCTCGATGAGATTCAAGCGCTTGGCCACCCGCATGACCTTCGCGTAGTGTGATGACTTGATGGGCTCTCCCATCTGCGCCCGCATCTCCTCCAGCTTTGTCCATGGCATCTGCGGAGCTTCACCTGGCGGCACTGTGGGCAGGTGGTTGTACTTGGTGAGCAGTTTGGAGATTCCAATGTATAAATCGTTGAACTGGGGCTCTCTTGAGAAGTAAGATGGCGTTGCCGGAACGACTCGCGCATGCGTAACGCCCTGGTATGGGATCGGGACGGACTCGGCCGCTTCAAGTTCAAGACTGGGAGGCTTTTGAGAGTCGCTGGTTATGGACCGGATGGCGAGTTGAAAGCTCGACCGCGGGAGGATTGTCGGCCGCCATTGAGCGGCAGCAATCGAGCTTGCGCACCTTGCATGCCGCAAGCCGCTTGCAATTGTCGCCATTGTTGCCGAGCGTTCGGTCGAGGAGATTCGAGACGACGTTGCGATCCTCCAAAGTCGTGGTACCACAAAATCTTCCCCCACGATAACCTCGCCTTTGGCGTGCAGCTTGGGACTGCATCACGTGGAGATAAAGAGCAATTGAGCCTGACACCTGATCACCAGCCACAGAAACGCCACAGAAACCCATAATTAACCCTTGCTCTTTGTTGCTGCAACAGCCACCGCGGGGCATTAATCTCCCCTCATTGAAAAAAAAAAAAATTCCTCTATCGCCCCAGTCTCTCCTCTCTTCCCTTCTCAACTCTCCAGTCAAGCATCACGACATCAGTCACAATGGCTTTCGGAACTCTCTTCACCACCGCCGTTAGTCTCCCGTATAATACGCCTAATCGTTGTTTGTGCCAGGCTGCTTACTCTTCTCCTGCTGCAGGACCAACCTCGTGCCACCGCCATCAAGGCTGTCGCCAAGGCCAACGGCCTCGAGCTCAACATCTCCACCGTAGAGGTTGGCAAGCCCACTGCTGAGCACCTCAAGGCTCACCCTCTGGGCAAGTTCCCTGCTTTCCTCGGCGAGGATGGCTTTGCCCTGAGCGAGAGCATTGCTATCGCCATCTATGGTACGTATCCTGTCCTGTGGCTGTATATTTCCCCCGGCTCTTCTTATCGACACATTATGACTCCTCCGGTCGCTCGCCAAAATGATGAGAGTATTTTTAAGTTATCCCTGTCTGAAAGAAATGTTACTAAAAACTTTCCCTGTGTTGATAACGACAACTTCTGATCTTGCACCTTTCTTTATCCTTCGAATCTCGAGTTTTTTCCCAAGCGTCAACGTGGTGTGGTGCTCTGGCTAACTTGATGATACAGTCACCTCCCAGAACGAGAAGACCACCCTTCTCGGCAAGACCAAGCAGGAGTAAGTCGCGCATTTCTCCACCTGGTGTATCGCTTCAAATCTAACAGATTGCTAGCTACGCTTCCATCCTCCGATGGATGTCCTTCTTCAACACCGAGGTCCTCCCCAACATCGGTGCTTGGATCAAGCCCCTGACCGGTGCCTCCCCCTACAACAAGAAGGCTGTCGATGAGACCGCCAAGGAGGTTGCCCGTGCTATCGATGCTGCTGAGGAGCACCTCACTCACCACACCTATCTCGTTGGTGAGCGCATCACCCTGGCTGATCTCTTCAGCGCTGGCCTCCTCTACCGCGGCTTCCAGTACTTCTTCGACAAGCAGTGGCGCCAGCAGCACCCCGCTGTTACTCGTTGGTACGAGACCATTGTTAACCAGCCCATCTACACTGCCGTCGCCGAGAAGCTCCCCTTCCTGGACACTCCCGTCCTGACCAACACTCCCCCCAAGAAGCCTGAGCAGCCCAAGGCCGCTCCCAAGGCTGCCCCCGCCCCCAAGCCCAAGGCCGCCGCCGAGGAGGAGGACGAGCCTGCTCCCGCCCCCAAGGCCAAGCACCCTCTTGAGTCTCTGCCCAAGGCTTCCCTTCCTCTCGATGAGTGGAAGCGCCAGTACTCCAACAGCGAGACCCCCGATGCCCTCAAGTGGTTCTGGGAGAACGTCAACTTTGAGGAGTACTCTATCTGGAAGGTTGCCTACAAGTACAACGATGAGCTTGCCATGACTTTCATGTCCAACAACCTCATCGGCGGCTTCAACAACCGTCTTGAGGGCTCCCGCAAGTACCTCTTCGGCTGCACCTCCGTCTACGGAACCAACAACGACTCCGTCATTGAGGGTGCCTTTGTCATCCGTGGCCAGGAGTATGCCCCTGTCTTCGACGTTGCTCCCGACTGGGAGAGCTACGAGTTCATCAAGCTTGATCCCACCAAGCCTGAGGACCGTGCCTTTGTTGATGCCCAGTGGTCTTGGGACAAGCCCGTCATCGTCAACGGCAAGGAGTACCCTCACGCCGACGGCCACGTCTTCAAATAAAGAATCACAGTGGATGGGGGTGATGACAAGCTATGAAGTGATGATGGGTTATGGGTAAAAATAGGGTTGAAGGGAATGAATGATGATATCTCATGTGCTTGTACACACACACACACACATGCCTACGTAGTCTTATACAACAAGGCCGCAGGAAACAAATTCAAAACCGTAAAAAGCGTCTAAACTATGTGCCAGCTCCTCTTTAAGTGTGAATATGAAAAAGATAAATAAGACGAGGGTATCTAAAGAAGAGCTCAGAAGGCTTAATCTACTAGAACGCTCTAGACAGGCCAAGGAGCTTGTAGAGCGTACAAATCTATGTAGGAGGCATGAAGTCCCAACCAGGCTTCATCAAAATATGCGCTGTATGTATACGCGACCAAAGAACCTATGAGTCAAAAGAATCTCTATGCCGTATGAGAGTCTGGCTGCGGCGGTAGTCTATAGCTTGAGTCGATCCTGAAAGGACGATCTCGTATGTAGCTGCTGATGTTGGTCTGATAGCAGAGGCTGTTTAGATAGTCGTGGACCTGCGGCAGCACATTGGGAGGTTCGTTGGAGAGTCCCTCAAACTCGGGCAGCTGAAGGATGTTGTAGGGCTCGCTGCGGCCCTTTTCGGCCGAGTCGTCGACGAGGACGGTGTTTGTCTGGTCCCAGCGCTGGCCCTGGGCGGCGGCCGGGTGGGAGGCGGCGACGCCGGGGTCGTTCCAGATGCTGGAGAGGCGCTTGTAGCACTGGACGCGGGCGGAGTAGTCGGCGGGGGAGAGGCCGAACTTGTCGCGGCCCCAGATGACGAGGCACTTTGCGCGCTGCTGGGGGGAGAGCAGCTGGGAGACCATCTTGTCGACGTTTTCGGGGCGAGCCGAGGACCAGATGGCGACGTGAAAGGTGTCGACGCAGTAGTCGAGGAACTCGCGGGCGTGGGGCCGCTGGATGAAGTTGAAGGGGTTGCGCTTGTTGGGGCGGTAGAGCAGCGTGCCGTTGAGGTCCACGATGACGAGGATGCGGCGCGGGTTGCGGAGGGAGGACGGCAGCGGGAGGGACTGGGCGATGTAGAGGGGCGTGGGATCGGGGATGCCGCCGGATGCCTTGCTGGGGGCGACGCGCCCGTCTTGAGGGAGGTTTTGGTTCTTGGGGGGGAATCGGGGCTTGGTTGGAGGAGGTCTGGCGATGAAGTCGTTGGAGTTGTGGAAGTTGTTGGGAGGGAGGTTCATCAAGTTGGCGTTGTTGAAGTCGAAATTGTTGAAGCTGTAGGCCCTAAAGATGGATAGACTTGTGAGTACTCTGCTTTGTGGAAGAAGGCAAGGTGACTTTGCTTGATCGTACCCGTGCTGGCCAGAGACTGGGCCAGGAGCAGCAGCAGGATGTTGCGCCATGTGTTCAAGGGCAGCCTGTGCATGTGCCTCTGCCAACGCTCTCCTCGCCTTTGCCTTTTTATTCTCCTTTAATTTCCGCGGTAGCACATACGGCGCCTTGGCTGGCGGCTGGGGAGCCGCAGGACTGATGAGGCTGCCCTCGGAAGTCGGCGCAATCGCATGGGGCGCCAAGTTGTTCAGCAGAGTCAGCCCCGGGATCTGGATGCTCTGGGGCTTCATTTTGTCTTGACCACCGCGTTGTTTGCTTGTCATCAAAGAATAGTGGACTTGTGCAGAAGAGCGTAAAACGAGTGGCAGACGTTCCTCGTAGGTCTGTGGCCCGACGGCCTCGCAAGGGGATTGTCGTAGCGGCGGGCTGCGAGAAGGAGGATTCCGGGTTTTGCTAGACAGTGGCTGTGTTCGGACCTTGTTTGCGGTGGAGCGTGCTGAGCAGGAGAGTCCCGTGATTACTACTCTGCGTGGCCACATTAAGCGCTCCTCCGAAGTTTGCAAAAGGGCAGTATCAAGGCGAGATGTTTCGTTTGTGGTAGAACGATTGAGTTTTGGTGTTGGTCGAATAACTTTCCAGACGCAAAGCCCCCACATATTCACTGGTTACTTGCATAAGTCGCCCATTAAAACCTTGCAGATGAGCCGGGGTCTTTTATCGATAAGATAACGCCCCCCAAAAAATGATTTGTAGGAAGAAAGATTACCGCTGTAGCTTTCCGGTCGGAATGATGCTGCGATAATCCAACACCAACGCTTTTGCAATTACGAAAATGTCGTCGAAACGGAAACTCGGCTCCTTGGGTCTTGAGCGACGGGTAAAAGCCCGGCGTGAGGAAGACTGGGATCCGGAATTGAGTGCCAGCGAAGAGGACGACTCAGGAGAAGAAGTTTCTGAAGAGGGAGATGACAGCGGTGATGAGGATGAGGATTTGGACGAAGCAGAGTCTGGTTCAGAGGTATAGCGCATTCGATTCCCATAAAGAAAAGAATGTTTCAATTTACAAGATGTACGATACTTATGGATTACACCGTCTATAGTCTGAAGAAGCCGAGGAGGATGCGCCAAAGGTCGACTTCTCATCCATCTCTTTCGGCGCATTAGCTCGCGCAGCAGCCAGCCTACCCCCCTCTGAGAAGAAGAAAAAGAACAAAGCAGACGCCTCCAAAGACGATGAGCCTACAGGACGCACACCCAAGGAATCACAAAGACGAGAGCCGAAGAAGCCATCAAGTCGGGTAGACGCATCGAAGCGAAGCTCCAAACACGCGCCGCAGGAAATGACGTCCAAGAAGCCCGTCAGCAGGCGCCGCGAAATCCTCGCCGATCCACGCCGCAGGACGCGCGACCCGCGGTTCGACAACCTTTCGGGAGAGGTAGACGAGACCAAGATTGCCCGCAACTATGCTTTCCTGGACGAGTACCGCGAGAGCGAGATGGCAGAGCTACGCATGCAGATCAAGAAGACCAAGGACGTCACGGTGAAGGAGGATCTGAAGCGACAGCTACTATCTATGGAATCGAAGAAGAAAGCCCGCCAGAAGAAGGAGGAGGAGGTAAAGCTACTGCAGGAGCACCGAAAGAAGGAAAAGGAGTTGGTGGCGCAGGGCAAGCAGCCGTTCTACCTGCGCAAGAGCGAGCAGAAGAAGCAGCTGCTGATGAACAGATATGCAAGCATGAGCAAGTCGCAAGTCGATAAGGCGATTGAGCGGAAGCGGAAGAAGGTGGTGGGCAAGGAGAAGAAGGACTTGGCTTCGCTGGAGAGAAAATCGAGACGTCATTAGAGTCCGCCCGTATCCCTCTTGTTAATGTAATGAGTTATGACAGATCGCGGAGTAGAAATCCCTGCGATTACTTGCTTCTTTTCGCCCCTACCGCAGTGGACGACGTCGGGATGAACAACTTTGCCCGCAACTTTCATTTCCGATTGACGCCAAATGACACTGCATCGCCGATTTGAGCCATCATTTCATACCACAGTACCGAGAATAGAGTTTGAAATCGACAGCAGCAAAGTCCACTTGAACTGCAGATCTCCCCTGTCCAACTGCGTCACAGGCTGAATGCTAGAGCGCCGACTGTATGGCGATGGCTTCAGAGATGGGCACTGTGAGGTCATTGATCACCCCGGTGATGAGAACGAATGCTGATTTCCGTCGGCGCCATCATGTCTGGCCGCCTCTTCACGTGCTTATCCTGGCAAGTGCATGGCAGTCGAGGTCAGAATATGACATAGTCTGCATCAGGGGTCGACTTGTTGAACTGTCGCTGATGCGTAATCGAATCTCGTCGATAATTGCTGACTAGTTTGCTAGAGTCCCAAGAGCCACCTGTTCCAAGAGTATTAGAAAAGGAAAAGGAGGCCAATGGGTAAGCGTGAATTTTGGTATCACGATGAAATCTGTAAACCGACATGATTAGTACTTTGCCACTTCGTCACAGTCGAGGATGTAACGCTCCGTGCGAGTCTGATGCAACTCTAGCGGTCCTCATAAACGACAGGTATGCAGTTAGCCGCGCTAGTTTCATCATAACTTTGATGACCGCCGACGTATATGGTCTCTTGGCTCTGAAGATGCTCTTCGATGAATGACTGTGTTGTAGCCTTGGACGATACTCAGAGATGTCTTGAATGGAGGCAAATATCAAGTCGTACAAACGTCATACTCTGGCTCAGGCTGGTATGACGTGAAGGGCATCGTCTTCGCTCATCGTACCCCACATGGCATTTGCACGTTGCCATCCTTCTGTGAATGGCCTCCCTTGTTTGAGCTGCTCATGGCCTTGGTCACAATTGTTCAACTTGGATAATACAGAAATGATAATGGTTCCACTGCCATCGACGTCTTGTAAGGTTTGCATCTAGTGGTGATGGAGTGATGCTAGCTTTCTTGTACGACAGGGGCCAGAGGTTGCGGCGACTGTCGAAGGCCGGGATCGTCGCCTATACTTGCAGAGCAATATGTACATGCTTGACATGCAAGCAAGCGACTCTAGCTGACCTGGTGTTGCTCTCACCGAGGTGTATGTACGAGTAACTAGGAGAAAAAGAAGGCTAGGTGGCGTTGGTGGATCACGAAATTAAACTGGCGGTTATGGCCACTCGAGATCTGGACGAAGACACATGGATTCGACGGATCGAGCAACGCTGGTTGGCCTTTGCCTATGTCTTGATCCACAAGAAAGTCCACCGACAAAGTTGAACCTTCACGGATGGTGCCGTGCAACGTGCTTAGTCTCAAGAGGGAAAGCGAATGAAAGAATTGAGGCTCACCCCCATAAAGCTCTGGGGGAAATGATGTGATAGTTTAGCAAAAGCTTGGTTCGCTTGCGGAGAGAAGCATGTCGAAGACTCTGAATGTCGATCACCGGCGTGTGACGCAGGGACCTTGAAGCTTGGTCGTGGGAGAAGCCAATGACAAACCGCGCGGTACTCCGTATGAGACGTACCGTAGCACCGGATTGGGGGCATATTTACTCGTTGAAACCAACAGCCGTCAAGGCCACCGCATGTCGATCATCAACAGCTTTGGATAACATGAGAGTCGATCCACGTACCGTAATGGCGTAGAGGAACGTGATGTGGACCCCGTGACGGAGGCGGCGAAAACGTTGGCCCAGATCGAGCAACGTTTTCAGACTTGGAGCATCGCCGTTTTCGCAGTGGAGTAACTGGTGACATCACATATAGCGGCTTTCCATTGGGTGTTCCAGCCAGGTTTTTGCTGTTTCGACGTATCAACTGCTGTAATGCGTCAAGTCCTACAGTATGGCTACCACTGCTGTAGAAGCCGTGGCCGTACTGTTTCCCTCCTTGAGCATCGTGACTTCATTCAGACGGGAAGGCGTCTGGAGAGGCGAGAGAGGGAAATCGGATGGGGGCAGGCGGATCTGGGCTTCTGCTGTCGTTCTCAATGTTTTCTCTTTGCAATAAGTGGATGTTGAACGAAGCGGCGCTGTTTGATCTCGATGGCGGCCGCGTTGAATACGTTGAGGTTGAAAGCCACAGCATGTGTATCTGCTTCGTAGGGCCTAGTTTGATCAACCGTTGAGCTCATATCTCAATTGGGGCCGAACATCTGCTAGGATGCCGCATCATTGAATAGACGGACCTTAAGAATGCATGGGTGACAGTAACACGGTTCAGGCACACAAACCCCATGCCTACCTGATTGGAGCGAGTGATCGTAGCTTGCTCTTTCTTGGGCCCCTGACCCGTGAGGAAATGGAGAATAACGCTCTCGATCGATGACCCAAGGGGCAGGGGTGTTGATCTGGGCCTGTCTGCATTCCCTTCTCTTTGGAGCGTTTGGAGAGATTCATCTGCCCGCGTTTCCTCCCTCTTGGGGAGATTTGCATGTAACCGGAGACGCTAGCTATGCATTGAATAATTCGAAATCTCTGGCCAATAGCACAGATAGAAGATCCGGAAGCCCCGGTTTCCGGCATCTGTCAATGCTGAATAATGGACGGAGGACTAGAGGTCGATACTATCTCCAAGCTTGCAGCATGGCGTGCAATTGTGTGACACAAGAAAAGGGTCTCGAACATTTCGACTTTGTCCAAGACATGGCCTAAGAGGGCGGGCGCATGCATTCATTTGATGCAACGGGCGCTTTGGAGAAGAGTAGCGTGCCCATTGTAGCCGTTGCCCCCAAACCAGAGCTTTGTGGGCAACAGAGAACGAAAACATCAAGCAACGATGCTGGTTTGGAGCCCCGTAAATTCCCCCAATTCCTGGCGGATGGGCGCCCACAGTATCGCGTCCACGGTACTGTACATTATACAGTACATACTTGGTTGAGTCTGTCAATCTGTATCTGTCCCAGAGAAGCATTTGAAAGAGGCCAAAGAAGGACGGTATGACACGGGTGTGACGAGCATGACGATTTCCGATCAGCAGGGTCTCTGACAGGCAAAAACTTGGACCGTTTTCTCCAGTTTCTGCTGCCCACCGTTTCGACGGCTCATGCTCATACGTATCGCCTCCAGAACTTGGAAGAGAGCAATCTGCACATCCCTGGCAAGCCTGGACAATCTCCATCTCACCTAGGCCGGCCCACTATGATTGTGGTGGCGTGGGCCTCGCAGGACCCTGAACTGAACTGAACTGAGCGAACAGAAGAGCAAAAAGAAGGGTGTCGAGCTTGTGCGGAGCGGTGGGTGAGCGACGGTGGAGCGACGGTGGAGCGTTCCAAGACCGAAGAGGCGCTGGAGGCGATTATCAGCAGCGTCCAGCAGGGAACAGGCCTTGTTCGCCGTGCTAGCAATGTCGTGGTACGCCATTTTCACCTGCGCTACCGTCGGTTGATTCGCCCACTGCCGATCAGCTCGTTTGGCTGGCGCGGACAGGATGGATGGTTGGTTGGATGACCCAGTTCCAGACCAGGTGAGGGTGTGTCTGTGTCTGTCCTGTCCTGTCCTGTGAGTGTTGCGTGTTGTAATTGGCATGCAGCTGGTCGAGCCCTCGGAGGGGTCAAGGAATACTATCGAGAGACCCCAGTTTACCTTAGTTCTCCTAGTCTGATCCCCTTGAATGCATGTCGAGGTCGAGGTTGAATGAGGGGAAATGATTAGCTGGTGGAGGGGCCCGGATTGTGTCCTGCACATTTATAAAAGACCCTGAGATCCGCTCCTTCTGTTCCAGGCTCGCCACGACAGCATCTGATTTCCACAGCCTTGTCTCCTTGTTCCTACGTCATCCTTAATCGGCCCACCCAACACCCTTTCTATCAAACAGACTCAATCAAGCAACTACTTATACTCTTCGCCTCCTCGCCAAAGACTCTCCCATTGTATCGTCTCATCATCAACCAAATCTACTACGTACTCTATCAGCAGCAGTTCGAGGGTATATCACAACACAACCGCCCTCGACATCTACCAACACCATACTTGCACCTCAACACAATCCAATTCATACAGCATCAAACCAAACCAAACGCCATGATGCCCGGCAGACAAGACGCTTACTCCGTTTCCATGCCCACAAACTCTCCTCCTCCCCCACAGAGCATCTCCAGCTACTCTCGCTTCATCCACGATCACACAAAACGCCAAATGCAAGCCTTTGGAGCCGCCCTGTCGCCCACAAGTTCCGGTGCCTCGGGCCGGTCATCTGTCGGCACATCCATGACCAACGGCACAGCGCCCGCGATGTAACCATCTTTGCATTTCTGCAGGTGTCCAAAAGCGAAAACTCGCTGCTTGAATTTGCGCATGTTGAGCTTTAGCGGTGCTTCTCCTTTTCCCCCCTAGTGGTTTGCCAATGTAGCAAAGCTACTCTGGCGATATCGATTACGCCGTCGACATGGCGCATCCAAGATTGGAATGCATGCATAGACACAAAGCAACCTTTTCTTTACTCTTTACCAATAACGCACCCACCTACACTACAGCAAAAGCAACTCTCTGCATCATACCGAAAACGAGCCGACTTGGGACCACTCGCTAATTTGTCACCCGTTTCTTCTATTATTTTTTTTTGTTGATTTTTACGACTATATGATACACGCACGGCGTTTGGGGGGGAAATTTATGGCACAATATTAATTGGTTTGGGGATTTGGCGCAGTACATACATGGGACAGTTGGAAGGATGAGGGGGGCTATATCAGGCTGGAAAGCCACCGTACATGAAATGATAATAGCAATCGACGATGCATACACGAATTGAGACGATTCCAATCCCATGGCAATCTTTCTATCTACAATCTATCAGCCGTTTCGTTCTCAATTTATGTGAAGCCAAGTGATCATGTGTGAAGTGCTTAATATTATATTTCATTAATGAAGCCATTCCCGCCTGGTATTAACACCATTCCTGTACAAACGCCATGTAATAAATCAAGAGTAATTGAATCTTTGTTTCGTAATATTCAAGGCGCAGCGCCCAAAGTTCCTCCCTCACATCTTTCACCCCCGGCCATTACACCAAAGAGGGCTTCTTTTTTATACCAAGCAACGCAGAATGATCCTTCTTTTTCTTCACCACTCTCTTGAAAGATGCCGGCGGCGGTGGGGGCGGCATGGATGATGATGCTGCTGCTGCTGATGCTGTGCTAGTCTCTAGTGAAGATGTAGCCTTCTCCGTAGCCATCTCTCCGTCCCTTGATGCTGAAAACTCGGCACTTTCAGCGGTTGTTTCTTCCAACTCGCCTGAACCATCAGACGCCGAATTGCCCTGTCGTTTTGCCGCTGCTGCAAACGCTCGTCTGGCCGCCTCTTCATCTTCTCTGTCCTGTCGTTCCCGCTCCGAGTCCTCAGCACGTATTATAGTGTCTGCATAATCCGTGCCTTCTTTTTCGGATCGATGTATCCTTGCGTTTCGCTGTCGGATTTCATCAAGGGCATCGGCCGCAGCCATTTCGCGTCGGGCATCTGCATTCTTGGCCTCGAGATCTTCCATTGCATTCTTCTCTTCCTCGCCCGCCGCTTCAGCTTCCTCTCGCTCCAACCTGTCCAGCCTTTCCTCTACCGACTCTTCAGCTAGTTCTCGATTCCTCCAGGGCTCGAATGAACGCATAGCACCCTTGACCATCGCGTAGTCTGTATTGCGCGGGTCCGTGCGAAAGGTAATCTCGGCGCTGCATCTTGTGCACTTGATGTGGAAGAAGAGGATCTGGATGCCGAGGTATTTCTCATCTGGTCTGATTTCCTTGCGAGAGTTGAACTTGCGTCCTTTGTATATGTATTCGCCACAGCTCAAACATTTCATGGAAAAGGGAGCCATAAGTCGGACGGTTTGGATTCTCGGCCCGGTGGGTTTGGGCCCTCGGCGGCGGCTGATATCATTGGGATCGAAATCCGGGGGGTAGTACTTCTGAAGAACTTTACGCTCAGACATTTCGGGCTGCGGTGTTGGGTATCGTAGTTGCGGGGCGAAGAACGCGAAACAGAAGCTGAATAAGTCTGAAACAAGGAGGTTGTGAAGAGAAAGGTTGATGGAGTGGCGTTGATGCAGGAACAATAAATGTTGACATCCAAGTACCTAGAAATAAGGCTGAGGTAATGTCTCCGGAGAAACCTCGGCAAGTAGATAGTGTGGCGATAAGATAAGATTTCCTCGCCCATGCAAGGCTGAGCCCGGAAACCTTGAACTGCCATCTCCATGATACACCTCACACTTGACTTATTATTTGCCTTCCTGTTGTGACTTTCACTGCCACTGCAATCGGGTCCGATATTAGAAGAACAATTCTTTACAACAAAACAAGAGCAACATGCCCAAGGCAGAAGTTGGCTCAACCAAGCACTTGAGCAACAAGCTCAAATCAAAAGGACTTCAGCGCCTGAGATGGTACTGCCAGGTCTGCGAAAAGCAGTGTCGCGATGCCAATGGATTCAAGATGCACACACAGTCCGAAAGCCACGTGCGACAAATGCTCGTCGTCGGCGAGGATCCGAAAAAGTTCATCAACCAGTACAGCGACGAGTTCCTCAAAGACTTTCTGTCGCTGTTGAAGACGGCTCATGGAGAGAAGCAAGTCCAGATCAACCAGTTCTACCAGGAATACATCGCCAACAAGGAACACATCCATATGAACGCGACGAAATGGCCGTCATTGACCGAATTCGCTAAATACCTGGGGAAAGAAGGTCTTTGCCGGGTGGAAGAGACGGAAAAGGGTCTTCATATTAGCTGGATTGACAACTCGCCTGACGCTCTTCGACGACAAGAGGCGCTGCGGAGGAAAGAGGCCCAGGATCAAGGCGATGAAGAAATCGAACAGCGTATGATTCGAGAACAGATCAAACGAGCCCAACAGAGCGCCGGGAAACGCGATGCAGAAGGCGAAGAGGAGTCAGAAGACAGGGAACTCAAAAGACAAGATGGCGAGAAAATAAAATTGTCGTTTGGCGCGAAGCCCAAGCCGGAGCAGGAGCTCAAATCTACAGAGGAGAACCCTGAAGCATCAAAAGATGCCGAAAAGAAAGAAGGGCCAGATGCCGCCGCGTCAAAGGAGGAACCAAAACCAGCCGCGAATAAAGGGGGCTTTGCCGGGGTGTCTCTGAAGTTTGGCGAAAAGCCACAGACGAAGAACGTCTTTGCCCAGGCAAAGAAGAACGCGTTGGCTTCAGGGTCGAAGAAGGGCTCCGTACTACAACAGCCCAAGAAGATGAGCGAGGCTGAGAGGATCATGAAAGAAGAGTTGGAGAGGAAGAGACCTAGCGGCTCGGTCGGGTTTGGGATGCCTGGGGGTAAGAAACAGAGAAATCATTGAACGAAACAACGAGTTGGGACGGCGTTTTAAGGGGGTTTTGATATAGCGTATAGATTGCATATGGGAACGGATATATCTTTGTAGCATGTTGCGTTTCCATAGATACCATAATGACCTAACAACAATTTAAATATTAATCTTTGGTCCTCCAATGTTTGATTCCATCACCAAAACGCCGTATTCGCCTCTGTTGTACGCCAAATCATTGTGTGAACATCCATCTTCGTTTAAGCATCGGCCTCGGTCTGCGTGCCATCTCTCCTGCATCATCACATCAGTCTCTCACTCCCACCGAATACGAAAAGTCCATCCTTCCAAAAACGTACGGAATATATTGTATCCTATACTCATCCTCCAAAGAAGACCTAATCTCGTCGGGGAGCTGGCCCGAGACCTTGATCGCGTACACGCCGGGCACGTATCCGTCCAAGCGCTGCCACTTTGCGACCCACGACTTGGCCGGGTTGGCCAGCGTTATCAGGCCCTCAAAGACCTGCGACGTGCAGCTCTCGATCTGATCCTGCGAGCCGATGAGGTGCAGGAACTCCTCGCAGTTGGGGCACCCCTCGTCGCGGAAGCGCTGTAAAGATTTGGAGGTCAGCAGGGCTCGCGTTTCTGGGGGGAGAAGAAGAGAGACGGACGCTGTATGTCATGACGATGGAGCAGACCATGCAGGCGCGCAGGTAGCGCTGCTGGCCGGGGGTGACGAAGCTGGACATGCTGATGCTGCGCGGTAGAGGGAGGGAGAAGACGAGGTTTGGTTGGGTTGAATTGGCAAGGCTGAAGATTGAAGATGGCAATGAATATCAATGGGTCATTTTGGCGGAAAGGCGCTGGAGGAAACGCTAGTGCGGAATTGCTTCCGAGGCGTGCAGTACGTACCGGTACGTGTGTTGGAGCTGTCCGCAGCGTTTTGACATGCAAGAGGATATATGAAAATGTTGCATTACTATAATGTGTATTTTAAATATTTGATTTGATTCTTCATTTTAATAAATCTTTTATTCAACCAGTCAGTACATCTCGTTCTCTCTTTTCCGTGTTCCTATGATTCCATAATTTCACCAGCCCTGCATTTTAACAAATGATGTATCTAACCCAAAACATGCAACAAACGCGATTTAGATTTTCAACCTCCCAAGACTTCTTTTTTGAACACCACTACCAACTCTAACATGGAACTCACACCCTTCCACTTGAACTATCTTTTCAAGATGAGCCAAAACTCAAATTTGAAGGCCGAGAGGTCAATACTGGACAAGACGAGACTTCAAAAATCGCACGAGCTCCTCACATGCACCATCAAGACGCCACCCTTCTCATACGTCCATCTGGAGCTTCTGACGAACCCCCCCGATGCCGCCGTCGAGCTCGACAATCTCCAGGTCAAATCTTACTGCACGGCTGCTTTGCGCCAGTTCCTTGGATTAACGGGCACCGCAATTCCTCTCGATGTTCTCAAAGTCGAGGGATCGGAATCCTGGGTTCGAGTGCCCCGAGAAGATCTCGGCTCCTTTGCCGCAGCGCTTACAGCCTGGAAAGGCACCAGTGATGGAGGCGTCGAGTCTCTCTTACGAATCAAGCAGTGCTCCGACTGGCTTGGCACAATGGTTGGAAGCCACGGACAGGATCGGCTGTGGAACAATTGAGGTATTGATGCTGCATAACCTGAAATACCTGATCTACAACGCAGTATATCTAAGTGCTGCCTCTTGCATGGCCGTATTTTGAAGCTTTTTTTACTGTTTTTTTATACCCCGTCGGATACCCGGAGGCTGCGGGTTTAAATGGCCCCCAGCTTCCTAGAAGCCCTTCGTCGCCTCTCTTTTGATCGTCCTAATACCTTACATAAGGGACGACATTAGAGAGCTTTGAGCATAGGCCTATTTGTCATGTTAGAACCAGCTCCTGAAGTAGCAGAAGGAGGAGGGATAAGAGGGAGACTCACCATTGGCCGAATGTTTGGGTGCGGTACCGCATCAAACTGCTCGTACCGAAGCTTATAATCAGGTCCAATGTTGATGTAAGCGCCCCTGTTCTCAGTTGAGTCACAGTATCTCGGAGCAGAGAAGACTAAAGGATTGTCAATCGTTAGTTTTCATCCCCCCCCGCGGCAATAGATGCTAGCCCAATCGACATGAGACTTACCAGTAATGCATTTGCCATCGTGCTGCACTTCATAGCCATCCATGCGCACTTCGTGACTTCGAATGACGGCCTCTAGACCATTGTTCTCGCAAAATCTCTTGGTGACATCGGGGCCGAACTGCATGCCGACTCCTCGCTTGCTGGGTCCTCGGCCGGGCTCGTCTTGAGGATCGGTCCACAGCATCTCCATCATCAGACCTGACTGACCAGGCTGTCGCTGGCTATGTCGGTTCAGCTTGCGAATGTCGTCCAATGTAACTTTATCATCGGAGAATAAACCTCCGTGGAGAACCAAGTACTTGGATCCGATTAATGTGGCCAGGGCCAACGCTGAGAAACTCTCGGAGAATAGCCTGAAAATCCTGTGATGCGTGTCAATTCATGCTGGCCGTATTGGTGTCAAGAGTCCAAAATCCAAACTTACCTGTCGTTGTACTTGGCTTTGCATTCTCCTTCAAAGCCATAGACCTTGTTCATGTCATCCGTCTCGTGATTTCCTCGGTTCAGGAAGAAGTTGTTGGGCCGTAGCCACTTGTAGGCGTAGAGTAGTAACGCAATCTCGGTAGACCAAGAACCCCTGTCGACGAAATCGCCGTTGAACAAGTACCAGTGCTTATCCGATGGAACACCGTTTCGTCGGAACAATTCCATGAGGTCAAAGTACTGGCCTAGATTCGAGAATAGGTTAGCACCATGCAAGAAATAACCAATAACAGATATGCCACAATGTGTTTTGCCTACCGTGGGTATCACCGCAGACAGTCAGCTCGACTCCCTCGGGAACTTCCACCTCCACCATGGTGGGCTCCTCGTATACGATTTTCTTGACGGCAATGATGATCTGGTAGACGTATTTCTTCGCAATGAGCTTGCCATTCTTGAATCTCTCCATCATGTCGTCGATAAATTCCTGTGTCATCTCGCTTCCGAGTTTTACTCCGTCATAGCCATCCTCCAAGGCCATGGACTCCAAATCAAGCCCCTCCGCAGCCGATGGCTCATCGCCGACTTCGATGGCGGCGAAGAAGGCCAGCTGGCGCACAATCTTCTTGCATTCCTCCAGCTTGAGTCGCGCGTCCTTGTTGTTGGGGTCCAGCCGGACACACTCCTTGAAGTCTTCAATCGCATCTTTGGGTTTCAGAATCGCAGTGCGGGCGAGGCCTCGGCGGAAGTATGCCTACACATTGAAAACCCTTGATTTAGCCTCCAAACTCTTGTACAATACGGCCGTGGGAATCTTGTTGTACCTTGACCAACTTCGGGTTGATCTCGAGGGCCTTGGTGGCATCGGCAATGGCATATCCGTATGCTTCTGTCTTGATGTATGCCTAGAAAGCAGAGTCACAGAACCTGTTAGTCAAGCTGCAGCCTGGGGTACAAAGACCGAGCCGGAGCGAAATCGGGTTTACACACTTGGGCTCTGTTGGTGAAAAACGTGGGCTCGGAGGCATCTGCGTCGATGGCCTTGCTGTAAAAGGTGATTGCCGTGGGGAAATCGCCAGAGGAAAAGGCCTTGTTTCCCTGGTTCTTGAACTCGACAGCCGTTTGCGACATGGTGAAGAGGGGTGATTATACAGTAAGGCTGGACTGGAGCACGCGGAGATATTGGGAGGGACGCCGAGGGCCGTGATATCGCGTGCGCCAGACCGTCGCAAGGGGAATTCGCAGGATTCGGAGATGGGAGAATGCACAATGGGAAATCTATACAAGAAAGACGGGCTCTTTGTCCTCGGCCGGTCAACGTCACAGGCTGCAGCGTCTGGAGGGACAAAGGGAGAGGGTTGGACTTTTCGCAAAGAGAGCCCAAAACCTGGAATCGATAAAGAACTGGGGATGCAGAGTGGGTTCTGGATTTGGGCTAACAGGGTCCGAATGAGGAGAAAGGCCAAGTTTGAAGTGCAGATGCCCGCCTAGGCTGCTCTAGGGGCTCCTCCATAGGCTGCCGGGCCCCTGTAATTGTGCTATTTGCCGCTGCCCATGTGCCCTGTGGATGTCGGAGGCGTCCATGTTCCAGCGGCCTAGCCGGCCCTAAGGCCATGGGCCAGCCTGTGGCTTTCCGTCCATTGCGCAGTTGACAAAGACAAAGCCCGGATGGCGGCCATGTGTTGGTGCTGGTGCGTGCTGCGGTCGGATAGATGCATGTACCGGTACCTGTGCATGTGGCAGCTCGTGGGGGCGGGTGACAAGGGCCTTTGCTGGCGTGGCGGCAGTGGTCCGGAGTACTGCCAGTGGCACGGTACTCGTACTTTTCACATGGGTGACTCTACCCTTGTCATTCATTTCGACAACTCAACGGCCCAAACTCTCCTGCTTGCGCATCAACAAACAACATCTCGTCATAATCAAAGGGCCATTTACGCATCAACAAATCAGTCTCTAAGGAACCACAGCCATACAACATACGGCAGAACGCGAAACCAAGTAATCGCGAGGCTTCGTCTTGACACGGCTGGCCATGGAGTCTGCGGCTGGGGCCTCAAACGCCCTGGTGCGTAAGAGGACCGACACAGATCTGATGCCACCTCCGCCACCAGCAAAGAAGATCAAGAGACCCAAGAAAGTGCTGGATGAGGATACGTACACAGAGGCGCTCTCACAGATTATCGCTAGAGATTTCTTTCCGGGCCTTTTGGAGACGCAGATTAAGCAGGAGTATCTGGATGCGATGGAGTCGAAAGATGCTGCCTGGATATCAAGCGCCAGCAGGAGACTTCGACACGTCATGACTCCTGGTCGAAAGCCTACCAGAGCCTCTTCATCAATCAACGCCACAAACGGCAGCAACACTCCCACGAGTTATGTTGGCGATACACCAGCGTCCGTGGCAACAAGCGTCACGCAAGACAAACCGGGGCTGGACCTCAACCTGAGCTTGTCCACATTTCAGGCCACCTACACTAGTGAAGACAATGAGAGCTTCTACAAACTAATCGACAAGCAGAACCAAAAGAGGGCCGATAAGTACGCCTGGCTCTGGCGTGGAAATAAGCTTCCTTCGAAGCAGATGATTAAACAGAAAGAGGTCACCGACAGGCTAGAACAGACGCGGAGTCTTGTTGACGATGGATTCAAGAGAGATTTATTGGCCATCAGGGATGTTGAAGAGCGGCCTGCAAGGCCAGACTCTTGGAAGGCAGCTCCACGGAATGGCCTCATGTTCGAGCCGGAGGGCCTCGAAGACGGAGTTAAGACGGTTGCCGAGAGCGCCGAAGAGCAGTCTCGCATGGCGCCAAGGTCGATAAGCTATGAGAATACGAGGATGCCGCAGCCTCATGTGCCACAGCGACCCCCATCCCCAACCATGTCGTCAGTACGCGATGCCATTGCGGGAAAGCCACGACAGCAAGACCTCGACTCCAGCATTGTCGGCGGTGGTGAAACCCCACGAGTAAATGGGTACGCCTTTGTGGACGACGAAGACGGTGACGACGACGCATCTGCCAGGGTGCCTGCACCTATCAACTTGGGACCCGGGGATGCGACAAACCCCTTCAGGATACAAGACCAGAGGGAGCGAGAGCTTCTTCACGAGCAAATGGTGGAGCGAATCTCCAAATCAAAGAGCGAGTCTCAGCGAAGAGGATTCACGGGCAAGGTCAGCCAGATGGAGACACCGAGATTCACCAGTGGCCCGAGAGTATCAGGAGGCTTGACGCCAGCCGCACAACGACTATGGAGCAAGATGGCGACTCCGCTGAGAGGGAAAGCCGCCGATTCCTTTGGACAAGCAACTCCAAGGAAACCCAAGGGCTCGCTCTTGAGGAGCGTCAGCAGAGTGCCCCCCAAATCAGATTAAATGCGGCCATTCTTCATTTCGGGACTGAGGCGGCATTCTATATTTTACTATACGTGTTTTATTCTGGAGAGGGCTATATAAGGATATTGGTGGTGTTTTGGAAACTGAATTAGCACGGCGTTTTGAAAGGGACAATCGTCACATGGAAGTTTATACACTGAGTTTGTTAGCTAGAAGAGGACTATAGAGAGAGTCGAGGGATTCGTAAAGAATTGACTCAGCCGATTATTTATTAATTCATCCATCAATATTAATTTCACTTTGTAATCTATTGATAATCTGATCTAGATGACATTCCCAGTTGAGTTGTGCAGAGCCCACCCTCAGCTTAGAATCCATGATGCGCTTTGGTGACATGCAGTTTCGTCGCCCCGCTTAACTGCATAATTTGACGACGTCCGACTAAAACTTGGGCGGCCTTTTCCGAGCTGCAACTCAATCATACGAATCTTGAACTCGCAAAACAGAAGCTTTTCAAAGACTCTGTTTCTTTTTTGTTTCGGCGCTTCGCGGCTGCTTAGTTCACATGGGCTTTGTGAACTTTGCGATTGACCTTGCGGCGGTGCTCAATGCCTCTCGGTCTGTCGCATCAAAGCATGTCGCTCTCCGCGGCCGGCAGCTCGATGTCTACAGCAAGACGTCGAGTGTTGCGTCTCTGGTGAGGAGCAAGGCTGCTGGTCCAGTGCAAACGGAAGTTCCAGAGCACAAGGAACAAACGGACGAAGGCGAAGTTGTGGGAAAGGAGGCCGTGGATGCTGAGGATGTTGGTGACAAGAGCTCCGAGTCTGCGCCGGTTTCTGAGGCGCCAAAGCCGGGAGACTTCAAGCTCCACGAGCAGCCAATCTTCAAGACTTCACTATCTGGAAATGATTCCATACGACAAACAATAGAGAATGCGCCTGCGAATACCTCTCCGGCTCAGAACCAGGACCAGATCAAGGAGGAGTTGGACGTTCCTCAGGGGATTGACGTCAACATCTTTCACACTGCGCGAGGCTCCCAAATTCTCGACTCATTGCGCAAGCAACGCGGAAAGCCGGAGGGCCGCAACGAGGCTGCTGGCAGTGCTGCAAAGGAGCATCCTCTACGATACTGGCCGCGACCACCTCCTGCTGTGGAGGACGTTACTGAAGTCACCAGTCCTACTCCTTTAGCTGTTGCCGAGGCTGAAAGCAGTAGTGTTGATGCTACGGGTAGTCAGACTCAGCAGAGTGTACAACAATCAGAGCCTGTAGGGACTACAACACCGGGGTCAACAAGTACGTCGCCGCCTGAACCCCAGGTTGTGCCCGAGGCTGCTACAGAAGCCGCGCCAGAGACTGTGGCAGAAGATGTCGCAAAGGCTTCACCAGAGTTTGTGCCGGAAACTACCCAAGAGACTACGCCAGAGACTGCTACGGAAGATGTCACAAAAGCTTCATCGGAGCCTGCATCGGAAACTATATCAAAGATTTCACCGGATACTTCTCCCAGCCCCATTGCAGACAAAGAGGAACCCAAGTCTAGCGCCGTCAAAGTAGACGAGGAAATAGTCGGAGCTGTGAAAGCAGCGGCCATCCCCGAAGCACCATCCGTGAATATACCTACCTATCAGCTTCGAGAATCCAAAGTACCCGCTACCCGATTCAGTCGTATTCTCAACTACGGCGGTCTGGCTGCCGGATTGTTGGGCGGAGCCGTGACGGAGAGCGTGAGCAGAGCCTTTGGGGGCGGTGGCGGAGGATCCGTGTTGCTCAGTGGAGGGAACATGGAGAGGTTGGTTACAAAGCTGTCTCAAATGCGAGGTGCTGCCCTGAAGCTGGGACAAATGATGAGCTTTCAGGACTCGAAAACAATGCCAGCCCCTCTTCAGGAGGTGCTCCAGCGGGTTCAAGACCGAGCTGACTACATGCCGGCGTGGCAACGGGACCGTGTTTTGACCAGTAACCTTGGATCTGACTGGCGAGACCTGTTCAGCGAGTTTGAAGAGAAGCCCATTGCGGCCGCTTCGATCGGCCAGGTCCATAGAGCCGTGCTCAAGTCAAACGGCAAGCGAGTGGCAGTCAAGATTCAATTTCCCGGTGTAGCCGATTCCATCAACTCTGACCTGGACAATCTCGGCATCTTGCTCACGGCGACAAAGTTGCTTCCCAAGGGCCTCTACCTGAACAAGACGATCGACAACGCCAGACTAGAACTCGGTTGGGAATGTGACTATACGCGCGAGGCAGAGTGTGCGAAGCGGTACAAGGAACTGCTCCAGGGCGAAGAGGACGTTTTCGAAGCGCCAAATGTCCATCTGGAGGCATCTGGCAAGCAAGTCCTGACCATGGACTTTCTCGACGGCATTGGCGTCACTCGCGTCACGTCGTTTACTCAGGAGCAGCGCGATTGGATTGGCACGCAGATCCTTCGGCTGTGCCTAAGGGAGATTACAGAGTTCAAGTTTATGCAGACAGATCCCAACTGGACCAACTTCCTCTACAACGCCAGCACCAACAAGCTAGAACTTCTCGATTTTGGCGCCTCGCGGGAGTTCCCCGAGGAGTTTATCTCGCAGTACGTGCAGCTCCTCGAGTGCGCATCACGGTCCGATCGAGCAGGCGTCAAGAAGTTCTCCGAGGGCCTGGGATACCTGACGGGCCACGAGAGCAGGACGATGCTGGACGCGCACATCCAGTCGGTCCTCACGCTGGCGGAGCCGTTCCTCGAATCGGCCCCCGAGGTCTACGACTTCAAGGACCAGACCATTACCGAGCGAGTCAGGGCGCTCATCCCCGTCATGCTCAACGAACGGTTGGCGCCGCCGCCCGAGGAGACGTACAGCTTGCACCGGAAGCTGAGCGGCGCGTTTCTGCTGTGCGCGAGGCTGGAGAGCAAAGTTCGGTGCCGCGAGCTGTTTGCCAACAGCGTGGCCAAGTCGGGCCATGTTGAGCGTTCGTGAGAGCTTTGGTCGATGGGGTGTGTTGTAATACTAGCGGGACGTAAGTAAAAGTTTTTGTTTAGAGAGAGGGCACATAGATTTGTTTTTCCTTACTCTTGGAAAAAGACTGAGCGAAGGAGAAGAAGAAACAGGCATCCTTTGTCTAATTTTGCATATTGTTGTGAGCATACCATGGCCTCTGACAACAACTTCGTCACAACACTCCATTCGAAACAGAGCCATCAAGTCCGATTAGAGGTCGCATGACGACTTGAAGAAGAGCAGAGGAATATTCATTCAGCTTATAACAACGCTGCTACCCAACACCAATTCGAATTTGTTCAATGCTTCCCCCGTTCCCTCTTATACTGCTTCTATCCGATCAAGTCTTGTATCGCTGTTCCCCTGACGCTATTTTCGCACGCAAACTTCTAGTTAACCCTTGCTATTCACCAACTCATTCTTCACTGTTGTCGGTTACATTCCCTTGCCTTGCGGCCACGGGATCGATGACGTCTGGCGAAGCATAGGCAAAACACTCTGGTGTGAATTTCCGACAGGCCGTGTATTTAGGTGAACCGGCACGAGGACATCTATTGAAGTTTGCTCTGCGGGTTTTGACGAAAGCGATGACCGCGTAGGCGCGTTGCCAGTCTTCATGATGGATGTCCCATACACACTCGTTTTCCAAACCCACTGTTGACTCCATGAATCTTAAAAGGTTGGACATGATCAACTTGTACATGCAAGCAATTACAGTGAGAACGGGAACAAGCTCGTCAAGGTTGGCCCAGTTTCGTACCGTCAGAGACTTGAGATGCCCACGTCTGTAGCTTACTAGAACCTCATCAGGTCTACAGCGGTCCAATATTGCTTTCAACGGGTGATCTGCCCCCATAGTAGCCAAGGCATGCTAGAGAATGACTCTGTGGGGAAGCATCATTGTACGGCCCCTTGCACTTTCGAAAAGCCTGCTAAAGACGATCAGGGGGGATATTACACGCGGGGCTACAATAGATGATTAGCCAGTACCCGTGACATGGTTTTATAAGGGGGGAGACGAGCATGGAATTTGTGTGTTTCTCTCTGGCATCGGACGATGGAAAGATACATGTATGATCCGAACGAGTTGCCTCATCCCAGATTTGCCAAAACTTACCAATAAAGTCAACAAAATAGTAAAACTGTTGGCGTGTGGAGAAGCCAAGGTACCGAGACAATAGGCTAGCGGTTCGCAAGACTCCATCAAAGTCCAACAAACGAGCAAATTTGAGTCGGTATCTGGAACATTCCCAATTCTTGATCGTCTTCTCGGAGATTTGGTCGGGCGGTGTTTGAGGCTGTGCCACGAAGAAGCCTTCGTCGGAATCTGTTGGCTTTTCGCTCTCTGGTATCGGCACACCCATGAACCAGTCAGTTTGGGTTATACATCTTTGGGGAGCCATAGTTGGAGCTGTTGCCTATTGCTGTTGATGATATAAATGGCCACCTAGGGGAGATTGCCGCTGAGTTTGGCTGAGAGGAGGCTGTGATGAAGGAGTAAACAAAAAAAGGCGATGAAGTACCTACCCACCTGTACCTGTAGGCAGGGGGAAGTTAGGTATTCAAGTCTTAGTAGTCTTGGCCTGTTAATCTCGCCATCGGACTTGACTACTCTATGTTGAACATTGTTATTCTTTAATCCGGACTTGCTAGCTGCCTTGTTGCGCGAGGCAACCGAGGGGACTCGATGATGCAAGATGATGCAGGCAAAGGACACGTGGAAGTAGCATTGAATCTTTATCCATTACTGTGGTAACTACTACTCAACCTGGCTATATCCCAGATTCCAGGTGATACAGAAGAGCAGAAACAGCCGGGCATCAGCATCTGTTTGAGTACCTACAGGTAGGTACCTATTTAAAGGACATGTGACAGCTGGGCGTGTAGTATTCAGGTAAACTACATATCCAGCTAGAGGCACCTAGCAGCCACCGAAGCACCAAGTATAGCGCCTACGGGTACGAGTACACGTATAGCAGAGACCCGGTAACCCGCTGATTTATTGAGAGCCTCAACAAGCTCTGTCTTCAAGGTTTGTGGCGCTCATGTGTTTTTGCTGCGTAAATCCGCTGCGGCTTAGACAAAAGGTACTTGCCAGGTACCTTGAAAAAAAAAAAAGACAGACAGACACAGACACAGCTCTTCAATCTTACATGCTAAGGAACCTGCATGTACTTGACATGTTACGCGCGACAGCCGGAGATGCAATTACCGGCAGCCGAGAGGGCGCGATTAGATAAGCGAAGGTGCAGCAGCGGCTTTAGGCCGTTTCGCCACCGAGAGGCCAGCATGTGCGGTTGGATGGCGGATGTGTGGCCGCAGCTCCGGATTCCTGGGACCCCTGGCAAAGAGAAAGAGGCGGGACAAGGAAGAAACAAGAGAGGAAGAAAATGGATGAATGAGTGGATGACAGGACAAGGGCGAGAGGGTGGAGATGGGATGAGTTTACGAGTTACTACTTGTACTTGTACTAGGACCCTTAGTATTGATTGATGCTTTGAGTACGAGTACATATGGTACCTAAGCTTGTACGGGTACGGGTAGCAGATGCAAGCACAGGCTCAGGCACAGGCTCAGCACAGCACAGACTTTACACGGTTGGTCAGTAATAGGCCATGGAGCTCGTTGTTGAATGGATTTCACCGGCGAACAAAAAGATAACGGTCAAGGTTCTGGGACCAGCGTCCGGCCCTGGAGCCTCGCTAGCCTCGAAAGCAGGGACTGCAACCCGCATCGTGCAGCTTCTTTTTCTTTTCTTCTTCTTTTCAATTCTTCTTCCTCTCTCTCCATTTCCACCCGCCTCGTCCCTCTAGTTTTTAGTTGTTGTGTTGGTCGGGCTCTCGTTACGACTGCACGAATAATCCTCGGCGCCAGAGTGCTGACAAGCCGCCCGCCCCAAGAGCTATGGCAATATCTCCAACGTTCATGACGTTGGTGCAAGGCTAAACGGCTAAGGGCCAACGAAACGAAAAAAGCAGGGAGGAGGCGTGTAGTGAGAAAACTGAAACTAATAAATCACTAGTAATACTAGGCACGATGGACTACTGTACGTGTACGTGCATCTTGGTACGAGTACAGAGGTGCGAGGAATATCGTGTAGGTGTAGGTAGCACTACAGTAGGCAACTTGTCACGCGCGGGAGGGCATACAGGTACATGCTGGTCCATGGCTGGTCTCTCTCTTGTCCATTTCTTTCTCTCGTTTTTTGTTCACGTCTGGGTCTGGTCTGGGGTGGCCACCCCCCCTTGTTGTTGTTATTATTGCTGTTGGCTGACTGGCTTGTTTCTAGCGGCCTCTGTTTGGAAACGAACGCCGAATCGATGGCCAACCTTGGTAGCTGAAAAAAAAAAAGTACCCTGTGAAAACACTGCATGCTACCAAGGCTGTGCATGTGCAATGAGATCCTTCTTGGGATGCGCGCATTGCGGGGGCTTCTTGAAACAAGGAGACGATGTGGGATTTTTTTTGGTTTCAATAAAGCGATGAATAATAGACAGGCAGGCAGGGGATGTAAACCAGGGCGGAGAGAGGCTAGAGCACGAGCGTGTGCAGTGCTGTGCAGTGCAGTAAGATTGGGTTATAGGGGGCAATAGAGCCAAATAGGTACCAATTTACACTACAAATAGGTACTTCGAGAAGAGAGAATCCCGGGTTCAATTTGAGATGGAAGGGTGGGAAGAGGTCACGGGCGGGTTGCAAGGGTTCAGCTGCGTTCCTCGATGGAACTTGCTCTCTCGGACTTGTGCCACTTAGATTGCTCTGCCAAGGATAATGGGGGAGAGACATGCATACATACATGCTGAATGGGCAAAAAATAAAAAAAAAATAGAAAAAAAGGTTGAGAGAGGGCGTAAAAGTAAAAGGAGGGGGTGGAAAAGGGAACCGGGGGGGTGGCATCGTAATCTTGTTTTTTTAATCTTCTCTCTCTCTCTCTCGCTCTTAATGTATCGGTCACTTTTTTTTGTTTTTGTGATGACCGAGATTTTGAAAGAAAACGGTTAGAGGGCGATTTTGGCGGCGAGCTGCTGTTCGTGGTTTAGGGCGGGGGCCGGCTGATTGTAGAAACCAGAGCGAGATGGGATGGGATGGGATCTCTGGACATGGATTGTTTTTAGGGGGGTTCGTGTCGTGTCGTTTCGTTCCGTTTCGTTTCGAGCCGGGTCGTGTCGTATCCGTTCTGTAATTGTTCTAGTTCTCTCTCTCGTTGTGTCATGGATCTACACGTGCTTCTGTGATGGTATAATGAATGTTTATACAGCTGGTACCAGACTATACTCGTACCTCGCTCCTTTGTCAACATTCATACACCTGCAGTAATCATACATAACAGCTCCCCTCCTCTTAAGCAATTGTACATACGAGTATTATTATTATTATTATTATTATTATTATTATTATTACATCAACATTGTTGGCCCCGGATATCCCAGTCACAAGCCCGCGAACCAATCACACGCCGCGCCCCACCATCGGCAACGGATCTCCCAAGGGCTGAGCGCAAGGCTTCGGGACGTGCGCCCGAAAATTTTCGGGATTACTGCGTCGACGCCCCCTTTGGATGGTGGATGGGGGGGTGTGCGATATTGCAGCTGGACCCGGAATCGTGATGGAGCGTCTCCTCTCTGGCTCTGGCTCTGGCTCTGGCTCTGGCTCTGGCTCTCCCCCCGTTTCCCTCGACCGTTTTGACTCGATCTTGTTTTCACGACTCGAGCAGCTTCGTTTTTGATAGGGAAAACCTGGTTTTGGATTTTAGAGAAAATGTCCACTTTCGGTGGCTGGCGGCAAGAGGATCCCGTCGTCCGGCAGATATTATATCAGACAGAGCACAAGGAAACCCGTTTTATGAGAACGGAGGAGGGGAGGGGAATATTCATCCCGGGGCGCCTCATGCCGACCGCCGCGCCCTCTGCTTGTAATTGTGTCTACATGTACTATTCCCCAAGGATCCCAACGCAACACCACCTTGCATGGGCTGTCTGTACGAAGTAACATGCCTACCTACTACATGACCACATCGTAGGTCGGCTTCTCGCAGCTTCTGGCCGGAGATTAGCAAAAATGTCAATCACTGCTACGCAAGCCAAGACTACCGCGGCTATACGAGCACCACAAGCAATGCCCGGTTTTGACTCCTTCTTTTTCTGTTCCCACCGCTGCTGATCTGTTTCTGTTCTGGTCCGCCTTTTGCTGTGATCCAAATTACGCACCCTTCTTTGCCCTTCCTCTCTTTTCTCCGTTCTCAAAAGCCCTTCTTTCTTCCCACATAACCTCGGTAAACGTTTCGCCCAGATCAACCCTCGTGCCCCCTTTGGGTCCCCCCCGGCCCCATCGCACCCCCTTCTCAGCTGACTAGCCACAAGAGATCCATTCCTAAATACCCATAGAAAACACACTCTCTCTCGACCCAAAAAGTCTTGAATAAAACAGAAATCTTGTGATGCCCGCTCAAGCCCCCCCCCCTCCTCCCTTCCTCCCACCAGCCCGGAAACAAGGAGGGGGGGAAGAGAAGAAGAAAGGACATACAAACAAAGGCGTAACTCGTAATGGTAATTGCCTACTTGTCCACTAGCCGTTGCAAATCAATGTTCGGACAAGGGGGGGTGGACAGGTCGGCGAGTGGCTTGGAAGGATTTGGGGATGGGATAACAACAAGTCACTCTGCTTAGGCCCATCTCAACGGTCAAGTCGCCCCCCCTCCCGGGAACTGGGGTCTAGGGGGGAAAGAAGATTGAGCAAGAAAAACAAGTAATCATCCATAGCAGAAAACTGTTGCAACTGTCCTTGTCATGCAGCTTTGCCGGGGGGTGGTTTGGTTGGTCCCAGTCCAAGAGGGGACGACGG